TCTCCCTGCTCCTCTGTTCTTTCGCCTTGCTTTCCCTGAGGCACCGCTCCAGATTTTCGGTCCGTCCCTTGCGAGTTTCGGATCACATCACGCGTTCAAATCGTTGGCTCGATCATCAACAAGTTGATTTGCACTTTGCAACGTACGTAAAATGGACCCGGACCCGTCATTCGTCCTATCCCAAAATAAGTCAAACCCGAACGTTCCAAGCTGCCAAAACCCCACAGCAGAGATGTGACACGTGCTATCATTCCCGAGCATGGCGCACCGTATGGCAACACACACCACCACTCCATGGCCGATCGTTCCACGCTGGCGTTTTCAGTCCCTCTGTGATGCACCAGATACCGTTTCAAAAATACGGTTTCGAGAGGGGGTGGCCCAAGACATCACAATCTGTGCTCAATCTCGAAAGAATTAACCAAGAAATATAGCGAACTTGCTTCTACCGGCTTCTCTTTCGAGTGGCGGCACGTTGCCGCTGCATTCCAGTAAGGGATGATTATGATTAGTATTGTGCCTTGTCTTGTTTAGTACGGTAGTCACCTCCGCGGCAAGGGCCCGTTTCTTGAGGGCGCTTGGCCCGTTTTCTCCAGCGGCCCTCTGGCGTCCATGGTGAGTGCTGGCACAGCAAGAGCACTTTCCTCCGGCCACTGACGAAGGAGTGGCAGCGAGTTTCTTCTTGAGCCGCGAAAACTCTTCTTCGCTGCTCACACGAACGGTTGACACCAGCGATAAGAGCAGGTGTTGATAGTGACGTCAGGTTACTATTCCTTGTGCTGTTGAGGCTGGTTGCCCATAAGGAGAAACTGCCTCACAACGCTATCGGGGCATCATTCATGGCCTGGGTGGACACTTCAGCTGGCAAGCTTCGTCGTGAGACCTCTAGTATCTAGTACTACTCTCGTGCTTGAGGAGTATGTCTCACCGTATTCTCGCGTCTTCCCGCAGCGTGTTGGCCTGGTGTTCCAGCTCATGGATAGCTCTCCTCAGCCCTTCTAAGCGTAACTTAAGGGCAGCATTTTCCTCTTCCAAGTGGGCCTTTTCCGCGGTCCAGTTAGTTCGATCGGTGACGTCACAGTCACAGTGGTGGTCCGCAACAAGAAACAACGAACCGGTAGACAGCAAGAGGCACGAGAGGAGTCGTTAGGAGTAGAACTATCTGGCATCTTCTGCTTACGAACGGAGGCATGAAGAGGCGAGTCTCGAGCTTGCGGGCAACCAACGCTGTCGAATGCTGCATAAGACACTGTAGTCATGCACCAGGGCAGACTCATAGGCAAACGAAGGTACAGCTTCGAGGTACATAGTCTCGCTGGCCCAGGTGGTGGAAAACATTGAACAATGCCGACAGCTAAGTCTGAGGTTGAATCCCCGCGAGTGTGAGTCATTCCGCATTTGGTACCTTTGCATGTGCTGATGGCAGGAAATGCTGGACCATTCCCGGGGAAAAAATGGAGCAGGTACAGCCGAGGACGCATTTGGTGCGACGCCCAGATCGAAGCTCTACAATTAGGGAGGCAAAGATCGAATACCGTGCTGTGGGTAGAAGAACAAAGACAACGCGATGAGAAATTGAGCCCACCGACCCTAACCTCGTTCTGCATCACTATAACCAGCCTTGGAATCAAAAATCTATCTGCTGTTGGAGACACATCTTCAACGTCAAGCACTCCCATCAAAAATACGAATGAAATTATTATCCGAACACAGATGCATCAAGTAGATAACGGCTGCAAATATCCCCACTCCAAGCGACTTCTCACCTGTCGCTGAATCTGCTTCTGCCCGCGAGCATCCTCTGCATACAGTGCGTGCCTCCGATCCCTGTGAGAGCCCGACGCAAAAATCAAACACCGATTCTTGGCCGATTCTCGCTCTCAACAGCAATTATGTGACAGAAAGCAGGAGCAAACAAGAAGGGAGTGAACTTGGCACCGAGGCATGGTTGTTTCGCTTGCCTGGGGCCCAACGATGACTGCTGGCACGCTAATCTGGGTGGGCCGGCCTACACCCTTCAGCTTTCGACGCTCACCTGTCGGGTGTCTTGAAGTGCTTGGTCGGCAGAGCGTAAGACGGGGTAGGTCGGGCATGCCCGTAAGTCGAAATACTGCTCCGCACCCGCCCCCCGGGACGCCGCGAGGAAGAATATGCAGGCTCTCCCTCGCTCTCCTCCCAGCCCTCGACCACGTCATCGACGACTTCGGGACTGCGGCTCCGATGACCTCGGTCACCACAGACTTCGCCCTCGCCCTCATCCCGCTGCCGACCCGACCGTCTCCTATCGTTTCGCCGCTCATTTACACGCGTCGAGGCAGGCCTATCGTGGTGCGTTGCGTCCTCTTGATCGCTGTCAAAGCTTTCATCGTCGTCGACTTGTCTCGACGGTGTGCTCTGCTCAGAGGCCTGGAGAACACCAAAGGCATATGCATAGGTGCAACAATTCAAGGTACCACAGCAACTAAATAAACACAATAACAGGGAGCGGTGGCTGCAACACCGCTGTGCTGCACTATTCGAACTACACCAGCGACTTAGTGGGCACGCCAACCACTCCAGAGAGCAAGAGCAAGATGCGGTATCACAAAGAAAGACACGCCACCACCTGTACTTCACGACTCCAAAAGCAAAGCAGTATGAACAATTTTTCACTTTGCCACGAGTCAAAATCAGTGTACCACCAACGGATTTTGTTCGACCTCACATATTTCGCACAGTTTGTCAACTTACCTCCTCTTTTGCGTCCTCAGCAGGCGCAGCCCTCGCCACATGTCGTGCACGTGCAATATCACCGCCCGTCCGACTCTCAATCCCAGCGGACCCATTACCCCCCAGCTGCTTCTCAGCACCCTCTAAGGCGGAACTCCAGCGTAACAACTCATTGCAAAGTCTCGCCGTTTCCACCCCATTGTCCTCTCCAAACGCTGCAGGAGCGCTCGGGCGCCCGCCCGTCCGGTGCGTATTCCCATTCCCAATCCCAACCCTCGCCGATTGGCGCGCTTCCGGGTTCGGGGATGTTCTTTTCCGAGTCCTTCTAGGCTGGCAGTCGACTACACGCCTTGGTGACTCGTCCGTTTCCCCTTGAGTGCCAAACCCCCAAGCAGATGAAGCTCCTGTTGTGTTGCCAGAGCCGAAAGTGTCAGATCCACAATAAACTGTACCTGCGTCGAACTTCCATGTGGTCAGCAGGAGCAACAATGCGTGAAAAAGGAATAAAACCAACGTCACGGGCCAGGACCCCGCCTCAGACCGTCAAACGCAGGGAAGGCACCGGTTGGAGCCCTGGGGCCCCGCACACAGCAGCGCCACCCACGACTCTCTTGATTCCACGCGGCCCCGCCAAAACTCATAGTGATGTACCGATGGTCTATGAAAAACTGTACCATTGGCTGATAATAGTTGACTCACCGGTAGTAGTAGTAGGCGGCCGTCGTGGACGTCGGTTGCCTGCCCTCGGCCCCTTGCGGAGCACTTGGCTGGTGGCAAACTTTAGATTCTGCTCGTCCAACAGGCCAAGCTTGTCGCCTGGTTCACGAGCGGTGGGAATCACCATTAAACCCACGTGCCGACTGATAGCGACTTGTGTCAACTGCTGTCATGGCGAATTCTGTAGTGTGTGACTGCTGTGTGGCGTCAAACCGTGAACCAACCGATGCTTCGTGCGATTCGCACGCGGACGTTCGCATACTATTCCTTGAGACTCCTCACGCGGAAGCTAGATTAATTACCGGATCTCACCTTCTTCCTTGCGATAGTTGGAGACAAATTCCAAGAGGTGCTTTGCATCAACCCCGGTCTCCAGCATGCCACCCACGTCCACACCTGCAGCCTCCGCTGCACGAGCATACTCCCCTCCGTCATCCCAAGCTACGTCAGCCGGCATGGCCCTACCACGATTGCTGCTTGAAACCGAAAATGAAAAAACGAGTGTGTTTGAGGGGAAAGGAGGTTGTCCATCGCACCACGCTGACATCGAAGGAATGCGAAGGGACCAGCGTCTGGACAACCTGTCGGCGAGGGTTGGACAAGTTGGTGTACCCCTGCTGAGTGCCTAATGTACAACCGGACTGGTGTCGACTCCTTCACCGGGGACAAACTGCTTGCAGATCACTCCCCACCGTTTCCCCCTCTCTGTCTCCCTTTTCCGAGTTGCTCTCGTGCTTCTCAGGAGATGTCATCGGGCGGTCTATCCGTAGCGTCATCGCTTGCCACGGAAACAGAGATGCCGGTCGCTCCAGACCAAGACATGATGCCGGCCGGATGCTGTTTGGTCACCTGGACGTGCTGACCTCCAAAAGGATGTGTCCAGCACGCGCAAGAATGATGCTCTCTTCCCCATGCCCGCTTAAACTTGATTCTTCAGCAAAATACCGGCAGAGTGGCGTAGACACAGCCTCCTTCGTGCAAACTGTATCTAGTATGCAGCACCATGCCGGCAGCTTGGATGCCCATCTATAGATCCATCTACAAACAGTAGTCCTCTGCCCCGTGAGCACCTCGGATTGTGTCGAGCGAAAAAATACCAACGTCCAAAAACGTCGACTTTTGTTCAGAAGTTTTGCTACTTATTTTGTCCACATCCGACACACGTCTACACCTGCGCACAGCGAATCACGAAACATTTGTCTTTCACGCTCGATGACTCGATGATACCGGAGTGCAAGAGTTGCCAACCTGTCAAAGCGTTGGAGCTTCCCATTGCCGTGCCTCTCTGTTGCATTCAGGAGCTCCACGATAAACGAGTCCTCCTCCCCCTCCTCGGAAGAAGTCATCTCGGTCTCGCCAACCCACGACAAGATTAGCAACGACTCGCAGCCTCATCCGGACGGTTTGTGGCACCGTTGCCTCTCTTACGCCGCAAGGCAACACACCACATCGGCAATTGAAGCAACCGAAACCTTTTTTTATATATATTTACGTGCGGATGTAACTTGGTAATTACGCCGCTTTTTCTTCTGCCGCATTTTCGCATTGAACCAACCAGTTCAGAGGCCGACACACATCAGGCGGACGGAGATCGCAAATCGCAAATCGGAGACCGCGAGCACTCAGTGCTTAGAGTTAGGGTTAGTATACTCGCTACTCAGAGTACAGGAGACTGAGAGACCGGCCGACAGTGCAGAGTCTCACGCGAGCTACCATGCGTTACTCGACTACGCCAGCGATGTTGGTAGCTTCATGGTTGGCAAATAGGGCTGATGCCTTCGTAGTGGCTCCGCCTAGTCATGGAGCTAAGTGGCGCTCCTCTCGGCAAAACCAGCAGCAGCAGCAGCAGCAGCAGCAACTCAGCGTCACAGCCGTACGGAGGTGCTCTGTAGGCAGTAGTCTCGCTCGAGTTGTGCCGAGGCTGAAGCGAAGGATGTCTACGGCGATGAACACCAATGACGGGGCGCGATGGGCACCGATACCCAATGTACCCAACATGGAGGTGAGCTTCGTCGAGGACCTCGGCTTAGCTGCTGGCTCTCTGGTTTCCTCACGTGCCGTGCTGCTGTGTCTACGGTCCCTCGTTGATGGACTATTTGTAGGCTATTGCTGTTGTGAATGTGAGTCCTATCTTGTGAGCTGCGTGATAACTCCTTAAGGACTTGGATGCTCACTTCTCATCATCCGTCGCAAAGGCGTTGAGCCTAGACTATGTACGCGGTCACCACCTCTGATGCATAGATTACTGCTGTACTGCTGTGGTCTACAGCAGTACATGAACCTTGCTGGTTTGCTGGAGAGTCGTATTTGGCAGCTGGCACTCGACAGTGGGTCAGGAAACGTTCTGCTCTAAGCATGTCGGTAACAGCCTGCATAGACTGCTTTTGACACCGTGCATGAGACAATGCATACAGAGCAATGAAGTCTCAGAGAGATGCTTGGTGCACCAACAATGAGCCCCTTCCCCGGCTTTCGTCACGCATGTGCTTCTCTTCACTGTCTCACTTTGATACGGTACGTCCTGTTTACAACATTTGGTGTTCGTCCTTAGGGTGGCACCAACCCGGAGGAAATGATGAGACAAATGTCTATTCCCGATCTGGCGCAGAAGCTAGACCAGGCCGAGAGCACCTTCGGCCAAGTGCATCCTCAGGTACGCCCACCAGCTAACAGCCAAGAATCCTGCCAGTGAACTTCTGTATGTTACTACTCGAAGTGAGTTGTTGTCTCGCAGGTCTTGTCGTTCAATGTACTTCAGTATTCAGGAGCAACATTCATTGGCGGACAACAATCTCATCAATTGATTTCCCGCTTCGTCCTGGCTGTGCAATCGGGAGAAGTTTTCTCAAGAGATTGGCCATACTCTGTACTCTGCAATTCTCCGGGGTACCCGCTCAAACACCATCTCCCAGCATTGGCGAAGCCAACGACGCCCAAACAAGACACATCACCTGCTGCCTTCATCACCACTGGTGCTACTTCACCGCCACGTACCACATTGCTAGGTTGTACGAGTCCCTCACATTTGCTCTTTACATGCGGCGCCAATGTTGGGGCCAAATTACAGGTGGCGGCAGCGCTTATTCCCCTATCTCAGGCACTCTACGCGAACGGAGATTTGGGCCCTGCTAGGCAATCGTGCACGCGTGCTCTCCAGATTTTGCAGAGGGCGTATAAGGAAAGGCCATCGGTCGAGGTAGGCAAGAATATGTTGTGATGTACCACAACTTCTCTGTTAAGCCGCGGGGGGCAAGTGAAACGTGTTGTGCTAAACTGTCACCCCGGGGCTACTGTCTATCAGACGTACGGGATACTTTAAAACATTACAGTGACCGAAAATCCCGCCTAGGTGTTGTTGCGAAAACCAGAGACATGAACCGCACGCGAGGGCTAGAAAGAATAAGAGTGTTATCCCACTCCAGAGACAGACATGTTAACCTTTTCGTTGGCCAACATGTTCGCGCGGTCGATACTATATCAAGACACACTTCCTGTTGCTGCCGCGACTTCGGAAGTAAATTGTACCGTATGCAACATGTGCGAGAAAGTATTCAAGAGAAAGAGGTAGAATGGAAGTAGATGGGGTAGCTTGGTGCAAGTAACAGCAAGGATTGATAATTACCGGAGCGAAGACAGTCGATTTGTTTGTATTTGCCCCTGAGGAAGGTCGGCGAAAAACTATCGCCGGGGCCCTAAACACTCAACACCGTAGCGCCATTTTATACATAGTTTGGCCAGGACACAAGTTGCCCTCAACGGACGCATCGTTTAATGGTAAGGCATCAGAGATCGTCCCCGGAGGGGGAGCGCGCGTTAGGCGTCATATTGCTTGCTGCCAAACGCTCTCGTGAACCTCGCGCAACTGATCTACGTCGGATATGGCTTCTGCCCCCGCCTTTCGAATCTCATGCCCTTGTGTGTGTGGCTGCAAGTGCTCCAGTTTTCTCTGAAGTGATGACGGAAGCACTGTTTCGCACCTGCTTCAAAACTAAGCCTCTCTCATCCTTCATCCCAACCGCCAAGTCCGCTGTTGAAAGCTTTTTTCTTTTTTCTGCGTAACGCGCGCATAAGTCAGCAACATACACCAAGTGGCCTGCGCGTACTACACGACTTCATTTGATGCCCACTGCCGCCCGGTTGTAGATGGCGGAGGCGCTCCACACGCTGGCAATGATACAACAGGCAGAGAGCCCGGAAGTGGGAGACAAGGCTTTGGGATCGCAGAACATGGCGTTAGAGGTAAGGAATATGGTGTCCACGTACTTCATCCTCCTGTACAACCAGACATTCATTTTCTCTCTCAAGTCTGGCAGGATCGTTGAGTATTTGCCCCGAAAAGACTATGCGTGACACTAGTCGCCCACGGGTACCATCAGGGTCGTACACTCTAGGGGAGTGGTACACCGTCCTCGGTGGTGCGCACTGTTTTCATGTACGACTGCACGCGGGAGTTTTAGGTGTGTGAACGGAGTAGAGTGCACCGCCGCAATGGCAAGACCAAACTTTTGACACATATCATCATCTTTGTTTTCGTGTTTTTGATGTTCCGATATCTATGAATTTGAGGCAATTCGATTGGCTTACTAAACTTCTGATCTCTTCAGCTCTCACCTGCAATTTACCGTGGTTGCATGATTGGACCTTTGATACCCTCAGCCGTACATGTCGTCTAGCCTGTGAACATCTTCTCGGTGGCCAGTTGCGAGTGGATAAACCACTCTCCGCCGTCGGACATCCATGTGCAACCATCTGTTACATCGGCTTTGATCCTATAGCATGGTTTCCCTTCGTTTTCCGTCACCCTGTTGCCCTCCGCCACTCGTTACCCTGCTGTACACAGCTTGCCATGCGTGTGTTCGGTCCAGATTCGGTAGAGGTTGCAGCATACGCCCGCTGCTTGGCTCAGATGTCCGAGGACTATTCCCAGTTCCTATCCCCTGGTCTTCCACGGCCGTTCTACATGCCCAACCCGATACCGCTGTACCGCCAGACGCTCTCCATAATCGAGAAAGTCATCGGACCCAAAGACCCTTCGGTGAGCCATGCTTTCAACCAAGAAGTGCACCGAGCTTGTACTAAACACCGAGAAGCTGACCAGCTTTCGATTATTGGTTCTTTGGCCCTCTTGGCGCCTGGTTGTCAGGTCACTCCTTTCCACAATTACTGCCGCGCCCCCTCCGTGTGACACACCCGCATGCTCTGTCTACAGGTGGCGTCCGCTTTAGATGATTTGGCCAGCGCCCTTCTTTTCCATCGCGACGATGACTACACGGAAATGAAAGCAGTGACGCTTCTCCCGGAGGCAGAAACCCTCGCCACTCGCTCGCTCGCTATTTCGAGGGCGTCCCTGGGCGAGGAACACCCGATAACGGCGGGAAGAGAACACAACCTGGGAATGATCAAGAGAGGACTACAGAAGCCTAAAGAGTCATTGTGAGCACACCGCAACTTTTATCGCATTGCGCTTGGGATCTTTTTGATGTAGGCCCGCTCCGGGGCTGAAGATACCTCCTGGGTTGCGGCCCACCGTAGTGCATTTTCTGTGCTGTCGCTCACTTTCGCACCCCTCACTTATCCGTTTGCTTCCTCTTTTTCGGCAGGGATTGCTTCCGACGCGCGCTCGCAATTCGGGAAAAGGTTTTGGGGGTAGATCACCCAGACACAAAATCCTCGCGGGAGCTTGTGGAAGAAGAGGAGAGCGGTACGGCGCCACCACCCTGAGTTTTGAACGTGCGTGCGTGGCCCAGCCGCATTCTCCACAGGGAGCGCGTCTTACTTGACAGCTTGCGCGTTGCCTCTCTCTCTCTGCACGAGGCTCGTTGCACGCAGCGGATAGATTTTTGTCTGCTTCGTATCGTTTTACTTTTGCTGTGGGAGCAACTTGAAACAGAAATACGAATCGAGCGCATGTCTCTTCGCACACGGCACCCGACAACACGTCCAAGTGGGCGATCCGTGATACCGTACTGTTTCAATGCGTGGCCGAGGGGCGTGCATGTCGGAGGATATGGTCTGACGCTTTCCTGGGGTCCCGTAGTGGGGGAACTTCGGTGAAATACGTTTTCATTGCTGCCAACCGCAACATTTACAGATACACTCTACTCCGAGCGCACTCGTATTTGTAGAGGAAGGAAGGCAAAGTCTTCTTGCGAGGTTTGAAACATCATTTCGAGGATCACCCGGCCCCTCGCCAACGTCAGGTGATGTGTAGAGATGCACGTCTCATCAGGCACACGACTTCTAGCGACACATGTTTTGTTGTCAAATCGCATCGGTGTTCACCATCTTACAGGTCGTTTCTATCCAAACAGTGTAGGGCGGTAGGGAGTTGAAGGCAATCACAACGCGGGCCTCTGAAAATATGTCTGTCGGTACGCGCCCACCAAACAACGTTTCAACGTGGCAACGAAGCAGCAAGTGAACCCCCCCCATTGGCGAAGACCCCTCTCCTCGTGTTTTCGTCCCACGGCTCCTGCGTCTCCCTACTTCGTTATTTGCAACAACCTAGTCAGTTCAGGAATCTGCAAGACCATTTGGCGCCATCTACGTACAGCGCAACCGTTGGTGTTTTTCCTTCAGACGCTGATTTGGAACCCACGCCAACCAGTAGAAACAGTCTTGTCTGACTAGACTATTGGTGGTGACGTCCTCTTTGTATACTTCCGCCGCGACGTCGAACGATGTATCCTCGGCCAACTTGCTGAATTTTTGTTGACATTTGGTGCCTGTAGCGTGTTTTCCATCCACGCATTCGCCCCTGAGATCAAGGACATGGGAATGATGCAGAATTTCCGAGGCGTGGAAACCGCTGGTTACAATGGCAAACGACAAACAAACGACAGTCTAGATGTCGGGTGGCGGTAGTTTCTTCATACTGTGTTGTTCTCCAGGAACGGCCTGCCTGGTTTTTCTTGAAGACTCGCCGACTGAACGAAGGGCTACTCTATGTTCCCACCTGGAGGGTGATGTACAGTCGCAGTCTTTCCCCTCGGCTCTTCCTAGTGGCTTTCGTGCAGATCGCCTAAGCGCCGCAGGAAAGGAGAACGGGGTGGGTGGGTGACTCCCGTGCGTTGGGGCCAAATAAGTCGAATAGTCCAACACCTTTCGCCGACACATCAACATGCCGCTACCGTGCTAAATGATTTCCAACTGGTTCAGCTACTTGCACGGTGACAGCGACTGGTTTAGATGAAGAAGATTACCTGCCAGTTGTCCCGTGCTTGTTCCTTGAGATGGCGCTCGTCACCTTCCTCCAGTATCTCCACTGCCCGATGCTGCCACCAGGAAAGAAGAAACAAATCCATACCGGTACACCGGATCGTAGGAAAATGAGAGGTGAAACATCAACGAAGATAATCAAGTAGGATCGTCTCCGCGGTAGGGGCCACTACTGCTGTGGGTCCTTCGCGTTTGGGTTTTCGATTCATCAGTTTGGCTTCATTGACTTAACGCATGGTTTCACCTCGTCAGTTGTGAAGTGAGAAACACTTCGGAGAATTTGCTCCGCGAGCGCGGATGTCTGCACAAACAAAATTTTTTTCTTGTCCTCCTTGTCTGAGACTGTGGTCAGCTTGAAGAGCCGGTGCATCGTCGGGGTGCTCATGGCATATCCTGATAGCTGCCACAACATGTCGCTGAACCTAACAAGATGGTGGGGGGCGGACGGCGTCGTGTGTCAAAATCGCAAGCAAAAGGGAAGGACTACCACGTTCTGGACTGCGGTTCCACTCTGTTCAGGTCGCTACAGATCTCTGTATATCATAGCATCTTGGATGAATCCGCGACCAATCCCCCCCTTCCCGTGGTCGCACTATTGCAGCCACGACCATATATGGATGGACGATTTCAAGCAGCATCGATCGTGTGGCTAGTACTCCCGTTTGTCACCAGACGTCAAACCAAATGCCAAAGGGATCATTCGTGAGCCTTCACACAAAGCGATCAACCAAGGCACTCAGCGACATGGGTGTGAATCACTGACGACCGGGGGCAGTACGCGAGTTCTATCCCTGTAGTCTAGGTCTATTGAGGCCACTGTTGGCGGCGTGCATGGACGACTAACCTTTCAAAACTCAAACGCTGCCCTCCATTTTCAATCACACGGTGTGCCTCGATGGTCTTAGCCAGCAGCCTTCTGTTCTCGTGTCGCTGCTCGAACCATGCGTTCATGATCGTTTCCATTGCAATGTCGATGTCGAGTACCTGGTAGCGACGCGTGATGGCAGTCAAAAACCAGGAAAAACGTTGTTCTGAAGGAATACTCCGAGGTGGCGAACAGTGCCGGCAGCCATTATCAACTAGACAAGCGTCTACAGAACCATGCATGGAATTGACAGCTATACGATCGTTCACGATGATAACAAATCACGCATGTGTATTTCTAAGTTTTCAAGTGCGTTGATCGGAACTGAGTTTGAACCAGCCAGGCGTTCTTTGAAAAAGCACCAAAATTGAGCCAATAAATGTTCCCGTCGCTGGCATGTCTTGCTCTCTTGGCCCACCTGCAACATAGAGTCCGTCTTATATGCTTCATCATAGCTGTGAGTACCCAGGTAGGTTTCTCCGGCGGGGCTTGCAAGTGCCGCTATGGACCGCGTGAGCTCTACCTTTCGTGTTTCGCTTAAAGTCCACATCCCGTTCGGTTTCTCATTAGAGCATGAGAGATAATGGCTGCGATCCTGGAAATGCTCGCCCTGGCAGCACGAAAGCGTAGTACGTGGGGTGCTCAGCAGGGTTGTAAAGTAGAAGTTGTACGAGCAAAGCATCTTCGCGCTGGTGTGTTTTGATAATGGTGGGCAAGTAAAGTTGAGGCCGCTGGTTCACCGACAAAAACCAATGATCAGCAGGTTCCTGAAAGACTTGAGCTGCGGGGGAAATTGTCGCGTACAGGGGGGAAATATTTCACCTCTCGCCACTTTCATGTAGTGACTCCACCATCCCATTTTCTACGGCCGGCGTCTACCCCGCACACCTCGTCCATGATCGGGAGTAGTTCCTCGACCACGGGGGCGACCGCCTCTAGCGGAGCATAGGCGAGCCCATCTCCTCTGACCATCCGGGCGTTGAGTTGGTGCGCTCGATCGTTGAAAATACGCATCATGACCATAAGATACAGGTCCAATGCCTGCGGACACAGCGGGAAAGGCATGAGGCACGAAGGGAGCAACGTTTCCTTCGTCTCTCCACCGGATTCCATCGTGGACCCTGTGCTCAAGGACACTTGCACAAATCTATCCCTCATCTCCTTCCGTTCTCTGCTATGAAATGACTTTCACGACCTTCCTTGCCTGGGGGATGTAAGATTGCTCATGCAGCCATCCCACCAATGTACCGAACAAGCTGATTCGACGACTTCCGGAAGTCCCGTACTTCCTAACGGCTGCCTTCATCGTTGCCAACTTTATCTCGGACTTGAGCGGGTCCCCTCCGCAGCTTTCGAACATGAACGCCTGAGTTGTGGAGCCGCATCGAACAGCATGAGCGGGGGATGTTCACGTTGTGAATTACTGCCAACATACCCAGAATCAATTTCTCAGTGTTGGTTCCGCCGCCGGGTTTGATTTTGAACGTACCTCGATAGCCTCCCGTGGTTCCGCTCGCCGCTCTCGTCTAAGGTCGTCGCTGGCGTCAGAAACCGCCTGCCACCAGTTGCGAACGCAAACAGAATGCGCCGATATTTCGAGCAATAGGTCTAAACGCGACTGACCCTAGTTCAGCGCGATCTCCGCTGAAGTACCACTAGCAATAGCACCCTAACCAAAGCCCATCAAAAAGTGGAATATACTAAAGCAGTCAGTGCGTTTTAGAACCTATTCCATGATACAATAGTCGACAGGTCGTGAGGGTTGCTCTGATGAATTCCTTCAATTTTTCTTCATTTCTAGCTCGCGTACCTTTCTCGTGTAAAAATCTGGGATCACTATTGCCTGCAGCGCATATCGACTGAGCTTTGACAGGTGGTGCAAGCCCTCGACCCTGGTCCGTTGAACGTCGCGAAACATGGTATCCAGGCATATTCGTGAAGGGCAGCAATGCGAGACATGCCCAGGACCACCCCTCGGTCAGGTTTGACAGCACTCGAAAATGGCGTATGGTCGAAAGTGTGGCATGGTCGCCGAAGGTCATTGTACCGTTTCAAGAAGTATCACGTTGTCGAGCAACCCGTGGAAAAGGCTTTGGCTATCGTAGGTGTCACAAAATCACTCTCTCTTGTCTCGGTGCAGTTTAGATATTAGCATCAAGTTGAGGTCGAATACGTTTCCGCGCGTCTTCGGACGGTGTATAGCGGTAGTCAACACGTTCTATGTTCTCACCCGCTTGTGGGTGATCGTGTCAAAACCTCTGAGGCCCCTTCAGCCTGCCACATGACCGGGCATGTTCGACGTCGGTGCAGCAAAGCGAGGGGCAATTTTAGCGTGTGGAACCATTAAAGAAAGGCACCGCCGTCTTCAATCGTCTGAAGATACAGCTCGTGCCTCCATGAAATCTGACACGTACATCCTAGAACCCGAATGCCTTAAATTTTGGCGCATACGCGCTGGATGGAGGCAAGCTCAGCTGTCTTTGCCTGGCAAAATCCCCACATATCCCATGAAACCAACAAAAAAACAGTCTTAAACTCAGCCACCCGTTGCCCTTTGGCTCTCGATACCTTCCTTCGACCTCCGTTGTCCTCGTTGGCCAGCTTGTTGTTGCTGCGGTACGTGCAGTACGGGGCAGAAAAGAGTGTTGTGACACGGATCTGCACATACATATAGTCTGAGGTAAGACAAGCACATGTATGATCAACGCGCTAGATTTCCGGGTGGCTAAGTAGCTGCCAAGACGATGACAATCATATTCAGGAACTCCAAAACATAGTTCGTCTTGCACGGACCACAATGCTGAACACATCTAAATAGCTAGAATTGGTCACGGCCCACGCAGACCCACCCTGGTGGTCCCAACGAATTGCTGCGATTCTTCTTCCTGCGGGACGTTCGCCGCTCACCTGTTCTTTGGCGTCAGTGCTCCTTCCTTGCTTCCTGACGACGCTGTGCGTGAACCTCCACCAGGCGCTCGTCCGCCGGACCGATTGTCAAAGGATACCGGATCAGTCTGTGTACCCGCCGTAGAGTGTCCAACGCCCACGTCCTTTTTGAGCGGAAAGGAACCAAGCCAACAGAGGGTACGTACTTATTGCTTAGACTTGTTGACACCTTTTTTTACGAACAAGGCAAAAGCAAACATTCGTTGCGAGATACGAATCGTGCATTCCATCAATGGCCACTCGAAAGCAGCAGCGAATCGTTCATGCGCCCTGCGCGTGGTATCATTACCTCCTCTTCGATGGATAAGTCATCGCCTATATCCAACCGGATCCGGTTCTCTGCTACTTTAGCGGCTAGCGCCATTTTGGTCACCGACGCCATCAGCACTCTGTTCTGTCGTGAGCCATTCCGGTGATCTTGCACCTGAGATGGAGACACATGATGAAGTTTATGGTGGTGGATGAACTTATTCGTGATACGACTGTTTTTCGCCGATGAAGTTAACCATGACTGCTTGAGATGTTCCACCCGCAGGCGGTCACGAGCGTAAAGTTGCACCACTAAGAACGGCGCGCGGTGTCCATCAAGCACAAGAGGGAGTCCTTTACATACAATCCCCGAACCGGCCGTCATGTGGCTACCTCGGTCATCAAAGTCTTGACTTGCTCCAGCAAAGACGCGACGATCAATTCACACGTCGAAGCAGGTCGGGTATTTTGCTGTGTCTCTTCGGCTGGTTCCGACGTAGGCTGTACCGCATCCCTTGCTGTTTTCTCCTTCTCGGAGGCGTGGAGCATCAACTCTCGTTCCCTCAAGCCTAACTGGTACTTGGCTTCCTGGTTCATTCTTCTCGTAAGGCGCGTCCGTAAGCCGCTGAACCATACTCGCAGCCGGGTCTGAAACATGTCGAATGCGCAAATATTTTCGGCGCAGCGCAGTCATTTCGTTCAGCCACGCTGTGAGAAGGGAAAGCCCTACAGGTGTGCCCAGCAGCCCTACAGGAGTGCCCGGCATCACATAATTAACCATCGAGAGGCTGTCCCGGACATGCGTCTCAGGTGGCATAGGCAGGTACCAGAGGGTATAGTCCCGATACAACGCTGTTTGTTGGATGCTCACTTTATTTTGTCAACGCCACAGTGTAAGGGTGTCCTGGCACCAAGGGGTACGAAACAAAAGACTTCGATTTTCAAGCAGTAGCCGCCTCGACAACACCTATAGGTACTGTTACGGTTCTGAGAACAGTGCTGGACAACTTCTAGACATTGAAAGTCTGGCCGCACTCACTCGTTGGAAACGTCTTCGTAACGCGCTGCTATCCTCCATTACCGCCTTCCAGCTCCTAAATATGAATCTGACATCGCACGAGAGGCCCGTGTAAAGGAGGAATCGTAAAATCATTAAAATTACCATCGAATATACTCGAGCGATCATGATTGTGGTGGTGGGATCCCACAAGAAGTGTGCGTATCATCAACTGCCAACAGAACGCAGTACAGAGAACAGAGAACAGAACACATAGAACATCTCGTATATTTGGCCTTCTCTGAATTTGGTGTTTGTTGGGAGTGGCAACGCCTTGGCTTACCTCGTGATTAGCAAGGAGTCCTTGCCAAGCAATGATCTCATGGAGTTTCTTGCGCTGGTAAGGTTGTTGAGTAAAGTTCCTTCGTGCTTTTCTTTCAGAACCAGCGATTCTTGTAGCGAAGCAATCTGTCGGATGACGAGAGGGTTTCCGAAGCTGTTTCAGGAGGTATGCAAAGGAACACTCGTTTGTATTTCATCGAGTCGTGGCATGGTGAACCCTTTCCGACTTGCGTGGTGCCGTTCTGAACTAGTGCTGTGCGTGTGTGCGTGTGGCTCCCACATCCTCGAGTCGGCCTACAGAGAACCATCAATGTTCACCTGCGATTGCAGCTCTCGGCACCGCACAAAATGGGGTTTGCTTTTGAGGAGCATCACCTCCGCGGGTGCTCTTGCGGATTGAAGCGAATGGTCCGAATGGAGCCAAGCCAAGAATTGGTCGATCACCAAGTCTGGATCCTGGAAAAAACCAGGTGCTCACGTGTTGAGTTGTCGTCAGCAATGAGGCACTTCTGCATTTGTACATAAACGGAATGCCATATTCAAAATCAGAAAGGGGCGTTCTCTCATGGCACACCTTAGAGCTTGTCCAGATGCTTGGCAAGAACCTGAACTCAGTTTGAGAAACGTCTAATAGCGCTGTGTGTGCATCATATTCCTAAATTCGTAGGGCGTCAATTGCGCCGTGAACCCCCAGGAAAGACACATAAAAATAAATATGGTGCATTGCTACCACTCCGCTCCATCTTTGCCGAACCTAGCTACTTCGGGTAGTACCTCGTATATTGAGCGAAGAAGTTCCTTCATGACGAGCGTAACCAGCGAGCCGTATCGTTCAAACACAGGGAGCAAGGTTCCAAGCGCTTCACACGCTGCCATTGTCCTAAATTCGTCGGGCATCGGTGCGTATTCCGTCATCACGCATGCCTACAGCGAATCGGTCAGCGGAGAGGTGTGCAACAAGTTAGTCCAGAATCAGGTCAATAGGAATAGCGTCACATCGTGCAAGGGAGGAGAGACTCCCTTGACTTTAATCAGAAAACTGTCAGACTGAAGTCACCTGCGTTAGAAATAGACTAGGATTCCTATGCCTCTGCCTACAACAGGTGGTGCAACCTTACAAACCTTTCTCAGTCGTTGCTCGCACATAACCGAGATAGATTGGAACCGAGCTCGATCCGCATCGAAGCTTGCCGTCCACCTGGAGTTGTTTAGGAAAATAAGCGGGCCGTGAACGCACAAAGATATGGCACCTTTTTTCTCGCGCCTGGCCACTAAACAGTGCCTCCGCACACGACAAGGTATCATTGGTTTGAACTGTTGCGGTACAAGAGATTGCTTTGGCTTTCGTCCTCGAATGCTTACGATAGGTGAGGTTGGCGGTCTTTTACATGGGAAGGAAGCCATAGGTTGGGAACATGCGGTTGGGAACGTACACCCCGCGTCAGTTCCATTGATACGTGCTACCCTTACGGCTACCATAACTCGTTCTCACTGACAGTTGTCCTTTACAACGAAAACGACTTGACCTACTCGTTGAAACACGCAGGTTATCTCGGGAACATCTTTCAGGCATTGGTCGTTGCAGTCCCTGATTGCGTGTAGACAATGCGGATTCGAGCAAATACCGATGGTACAGCACCTGTTCATTACGCAGTCCGAGCTCATGTCGCGCCCAGACCATGGTGAGGCTGCCCTAAGTCTTCCAGGCAAAGGAGAAGGCACCCCGTGCGATGTCGGGAGGCGATTTGCAGGCCGCCAGTCGTGCTTCCTCTTCCGCCTGCACAAAGAACAAGTTCATCACAACGAACGTTATTTGTGCTGTTTGGCTCTCGCCGCTACCACCACTCGCAATACCACTAGGTGCTCACCTCAGGCTGGATTTGGAGTTGATGCTCCCATGAGTCTCGTCGATGCCGGTGAAGTTGTACGTTTGGACTGAAGATGAATCGCTTGCCGTGAAGGGCATGGCATGCCTTTGCCCAGGGTATGACACATCGTGCGCAGGACGGCTCTGAGCGATGTCGGTCACCTATCGGTAGCGCGAAATGGGCCCGCTGAGATACAAAGTGCTATAATAGTGGCACGAAAACACCATGTTCTCTACCGGAGGCTAGCCTGTCGAGGTTTGCATAACTTGGTCACGACCCTATGCAGTAGTGCTACCATTTGGGTTTCGTGTGTTTATTAGCCCGCGGGACGTGCTGTGATGTCGGGCATCGTGTCTATCCTGCATCATTGCACGCCATCGGATCCCAGCAACTTCGCGCATGTCAGTTAGTCTCATCAACGAAAACCCAGGCCTGCTCCCATAGCAGCAGCTTCTCGAATCCCTCGTGTCCAGACTGAGTACTACAATACCTGCATCAGTTTTGCGTCGTCTCCCAACGAGTTGCCCGTACCAACCCTGGTACACGACAGCCGTAAGCTTGTTGTTCACTTTTTATCGAAACTCTAACATTGCTACACCCGGAAACCTGAAGCGTACAACGAATTTCTCTTGGCGTCGGCCAAACCATTTACGTGCAGGGGGTCATCAAACTCAGGGAACACCTGGAACCAACAGAATACCGAACGAACATGCGGCGTTTGTGATGATGTGATCGGAATTTTCTTCTTCGAAGTCACAACACTCGATTGAAGGGCTACTCTACTGTGCGGACAAGATAGTTGAACCTGCATCGCTTGCTTACGTGGCTGTAGTCGTTCCGCAAGAAAAAGCACCTCGTTCGCACTCCGGTGACTGTCTAGGCTATGCTGTGTTCTTTACCGTGTTCATGTCCCACCAACTCCTCAAATGCCAACCATGTATTGCAACCTCACAGGAGCAACCATGCGGAAAAAGTTAAGAATGTGGTCTCGCTCTTACCGCCCCCCCACCTTGCGGCCGTGGCGAACATAGGATGGAGAAACGTGAGCGTCTACCGACGTCAGGACCCGCCTGCGCAATATCGCCGCATGCACGTACAGTGAACGGTTTTTCTCAGCTGCTGCACAAACTGCCGTGAATGGTGCCGCGAACACCATCATCCCATGTGTGTTGAACTTCATTCAGCGCCTCGCCAAAGTATCGCATTCAATGCTCTAGCGGAAAGATAGTCAGCGTCGAGTGTTCGTTGGTGTCATCTCGGGCAGAACATAGGAAAGGAGGTTGTTGTCTTCTTTTGGTGCAGAATACAGTGCTCTTGACATTAGGCAACAAGGTTGTTCCGTCTAGAGCGATTCTTCCATGCAGTGTGCGGTCTCAACCGTGAGTACTATTGCACAGTTCGCGTATGTGACGTACCCTATTTCGAGGTGGCCTCCGCCAGATCCGGGTCTTGATTGACTTGCTTCATTAGGGACGGTCTTGCGTGCACCTAGAATATCGCGGGGTAGCTGGAGCGGGAATTCTCCCCACGGCACATTCATGAGAGTATGATGCCTGCAACACCTTGCCGTTGCTACTAAAGTCTCGCAATCATATTGTACATGTTACACTTTGCCCGCTGGCGCGATGGCTTACAGTCCCGTTTTGAAACCGCTGCTTCGAGACGAACTGGTACAAAAAAACGCGGCGAGATCTACAGATTGCAATCGTCATTTGGACTCTACATCACTGGAGCTCTCGATGGCTGGCTGTTGTGAAGTTAACGCTAGAGGAGTGTACTACTGTAGTGACCAACTTTTCGGGTGGTTGTGACTGTATTCCTGGTCGGTGATCATCGCCTTCGTCGCAATAGGGCCTCGGTTGGAGTCTTTCCGATTGGTCGAGTCGGGCGTTGGGTCATACTGACAAAAAAAAGACAAAAAAAGGATGGCGCCTCCGAGCTCCACGAGAATTACGGAAGACTTCCTGAAAAAGGTGCGAAACATGCAGAGACTACACGCCCGGGCAGCTCAACAGATTGGCCGTCTCGTACCTTACTATGTCTACAATATTTCTGTTTTTTTTCTGTTAACCCGCTCCTACAGTAGTACTGGAAGCCCAAATGGGGGCACTTTGGGGACACAACACTCAAAAACCCACTCAGTACTTTATTGCCGCACTCACCCTAGGCTCCGCTGTGTGCAACGCACGTGAGAACCCTTGGTCTAATATGCTTGGCTGTATGATGCCTCTCCTCTGACTTGATGTACGTATCTCCCGGCCTACGTGCCCCCTAGGTCGTAAAACTGTACATAACGCCTGGTGTAAAGTACTGGAAAAATTTGGTGACTTGATATGAAAAATCCCCACGTGACGTGTATTGAGGACACTTTTCATACTGAAGTGGAGTCACCCTTTGTCTGGCAGGGAGCTCAGATTCTTTGGAGGGACTGTAGCCCCTCGACCAACGGCTGACAAACAGTTTTTGCGACATTTTTTTGCGAAGGGACTGGGTACCAGGAGACTACAGGGTTTTTAAGCATTACTACTAGACCACATGGATGGACGGATGGATTACGTGAAGTATGTACCGTATATGCCTCTAAATGCCAATGCTTGCAATAGGGCAATGCAAAGACATTTAGACTACTCGGTATACAGCAACTTTCCTATGCCCAGACACTGAAGAGGATAGGTGCCAGAGCGTAGAAACCACGATTCGGCAACAGCGCCTACTGTTCGCGGGAGCGCTGGCAAGGCAGCCAGACGGACGACTCCCGAAACGGGTTATGCTTGGCGAGCTGGTGGGGGGGAGGGCCCAGGCAGGGGGAAACCGGAGCAAGACTGGCAGATGTGCTTGAAGGACGACCTCAAGATGTTCGAAGCAGAGCACGGATCTACAGACGCCAAGCCATGCTTCTTCGGAATCCCGGGAACAACTTGGATGGAAGGAGCGAAGGTGGACCGGGGGAAACCGTGGCATACAGAGTTACTGCAGGGAGCTAAGAGGTTCATGGCCTCCTGGCACAAGAAGGAAGAGCAGACTAGCCGACAACGAGCGCTCAAACTAAACAAGAAGCCCGGCAACAACACGGGCACGGCAACAACCACGGGGGCGGGAGGGGTACAGCAGGCGACCGAGACGGCGAGGAAAGACAGGAAACGCGAAGAGGCGGACCGAGTGACGCGAAACACTGTGCCGAATTGAACCCCTTGCTTGACTCATCCCCCCCCGCCCCCTGGCACCGCACCATTGCACCGTCGTGCATGTGCGGGCTCGGATGGCCCGTTTTGTGTTGTCTTGTGTTGCTCTGTTTGTTTGTTTGTTGTTTGTTGCTACGGCGTGTGTCTTTCTCTGTCCGTGTCTCCTCCGCTTTCCCTTCTCTCCATCTGCTCTCTTTGTCTTGTTTTTCTTTTCGTCATTCTCTTTGTTTTTATATTTTCTTTCTTTTTTTAGTCTAGGGTTACCTCGCATAGCGTGTAGGGGCGAGCGGGAGTGGCCTAGACTATCTGTCGTTGAGTGTTATTGGCTTGTGAACCCTTCGGGTCCATTTTGTTTTCGTTTACCATTTTTGGGTAAGTTCGCCTGTGACCACGGGAATCGACCCCGTCAAGTATAGTACGGAGAGAAGGTACTGGGCAGAGAGAACGGAACGGTTTTAGTGTGAAGACATCAACATTAAGAACTACCTAACCCTAACTACAGTAAACATGCTGTCTTCTATTTATGCCTGCATGCAACAATATATTTAGACCCCACGTAAATACATGTGGTACGAGACACAGCGAGATACGTTTGAGACTTCGTATGCACAGTACATCATCAGTGCCGGCCCACTCATCAGAAACGTCGACATTGAGCCCAAGGCTCAATGCCTTCCTGTGTGTCAACGATTGAGAACGGGCTACATTTTCTATACTATATGTACCATATTGGATTTTTTTGTAGTGCCGGCGGCTGTGTCTTCGCCGTTTTGTCTATTTCTTCACAAAACACACCTGGGTCTCTGTCGTCGTTTGTTTCTTATGAGTGGGTCGGCACCTTATCTAGTGGGTCGAGAACGGCAAAATAGTAGTTGCCGACCAGCAACAAGCATTCCGTGTGCTCATGCTTTGTTGATTGTCGTCGAGCTACCTAAGTGACTACACCTGCCTCGTGTCGCGTATATCAGTTTTACTTTGCACGACAAGGACGGATTCTGAAACGTTTGATGTGCGACTGCAACACAATACCAGGTATAATGCAAACTGAAAAATCCCCTCCAACCTCCACATTCTACGTAAATTCAGGCAGTAGGCTAGCCTGTTCCCGTGTAAACATAGCCGTCTTTCTCGTAATCGGGTTCATGCATAAATTGCATGTGTGCGTGCGTGCGTGCGTGCAGAAAACGGGAGAGTACGACCTGGAGGTGATGCAATGGCTTGAACTACCAAACATGGGTGCGTACACTACTTTGCCAAGTACGAAAATAGCCTTGAACGCGAAACACCCTTTTGATGTGATGCATCATGCGACCAGTGTACGTGCACATCATGTTTGTTTGTACCGATCTGGCCACATGGTGAGACAAAGAAGGTTCTTGCCGGCTGGGCGTAGATACTATCATAGTGTAGAAGTAAATGGAGTATATTCAACCGCATGATTCATGAATTGGTACTCCAATCAACCACATACATACGTACATACATACATACGTGCAGTACCTCGTCGAAATACCGTGGTATCTCGCAGGAATAAGGCGCATCGAGAACATCAGCAGCTGCACCAACATTCGGACGCTCACCCTATGCGGCAATCAGGTAGTGCGTACCCTTTTCCGAGGACCACATTGTACAAACAAATTAGATGTTGGTATGATGTGGATCGTCTCGCTGTCAGTGGTGTGTCGACAAGGGAAGACCTCAAATGGCGTGTGAGCATACGTACACATTGTCTCCGGTATCGCGCGTTAAACGTAACTAACCTACGTTTTGTAACGCCAACTGTTTCGGAAACCTTGACTAGATTCGAGAAATCGCCGGTCTGGACGGATTGGTATCTCTGGAGCGTTTGGACCTCTCCTCGAACATGATTCGACGGATAGGTGATGAGGTTTTAGTCGTCAACGGGTCTACCGGGATAATTCCCGGATCTTTGGAGCTGTTTTGTCTCAAACGGTCGAAGATCGATATACGCAGCCAACCGTACTTTCACAAACCTTGTCAACGCGCGTATTGTACAAGTGCAATTTAGTAGACTCTCCTCTCTCCCCTTTGCTTATTGCATTTTTCCTTACCCGCAGACAGTTGTCACAAACATAATTACACCAACAACGCCGACGCCATCATGGACAAGTTGTTTCTCTCCATGATTGACTTGTGCTTTGGCAACAATCTGAAATATCGCAACAATCGTCATTCAAGCGACCCAAACACCGTACTTCATGTTCGTGCGTGACTGCTTTTCCCAGGAAACCTGGATTCCCTCACAAGCTTACAGTCGTTGGATCTCAAGGTCAGTCGTCCGTGCGATCGCTTGCATTTGCCTGAGGTTTGTATCCAATTGTGCCATGGGTCAGCCGTGTGGTGCACGGGGCCTGTTCATGTACGTACCTCGTACGAGGATGCTGTACTCGGTCCCCGCTTAGAGGCACTCGCCTAGTAGTTGTTTACCTTTCGGGTCACTCTCGTCAACCACGGGTATCAAGCACCTGAACCCGTCTGTCGTTCGACGCCCGTGTGATCACCGACGGCCACTAGGACAACCAAATATCGAGCGTGGATGATGTCGGGAATGTCAGCAAGGTGAGATACATGCATTTGACCTGAGGTGTCCATCAAAACAAATACCTGTTCAGGCCAGATCCTGCCACTTTGCATCAGCATCGGACTGTCCAATGGCATGGTTGTGATATTGATGTTGTTGTTCTCATCTTTGTGCTGTGCACGCTTTCATGAAGTCGTGCATTAAGAAGGTGCTTCTTAGCTTGAATTCTACATGTAATGCAATGTTTTCCTGAAGCAGTAGGAATCCACATTTCTTGGCACACAGACCTGTTGTTTTTTCTTTCGAATTGCCTTCATGATTATTGTTCTACACCCGAGGGAAGAGAGAGACGACAACTTGGCAGAGCACGTTCCCCCTGCAGACACGTGTCTTCGCCTTTCTTTCCTCCTGAGACTGCTTCTCTCTTCCTTTCCTCCGAGCGACAACCACTAGTTTCTCGGTGTAGGAACCAATCTTTCTGCACGCAGTAGCCTCAGATGACCAAGTCCTCCAAATAGTACCCTACCATTTTCTTCACTACCACGACTACTCGGTCCTTTCCTCCCTCCCCACCTTCGAAAGCAAAGGGGTGGGTGGACGGAACAAGACTACAAATTATTTGCAGCCCCAGGTGGCAAGCCACGCAAAGCCTCCTTTGTGCCTACTGGCTCCTTGTCTCTGCGTTGCTCTCTCTAGTCCTCGTAAGACTGTGTGTGAAAACCTACAAGTAGCTTCGGCAGAGTGTTCGAGGTGCAGCTTCTCCCGTTCTGGCTCTCTCGCTCGGGGGGGGCGTACTTCCGTGACCGTTCTAATAGTCTAATACCGTAACAACGACGTAACAATTCGATTGGTTCGAAAACTTGACTTGTTTTCGCCTGGTTTTACAACAAATCTCCCCGTTTTTTCCCGCTAACTCACTCTCCTCCGCGACATGCTGCACTTGATGACCTGCGCGAATACTCGTGACACCAGCTCCCACACCTGAGGCGTTTCTTCCTTCAGGACTACAACGGCCTTAAAAGCAATCCAGGTGCGTCCGGCAATAATTCCCTAGCAGGGGGCTTCCGCACAAAACTAGGTTTCCTCCCAAAAGGCCAAACCTGAGACAAGATGTTCCACCACTTGCTAACCCAGAATTCTTTGTCCTCGCAGCGTGCCAGCATCCTTCCTACCATAGCGTGGTTACCCGTTTTCTGCCTCAACTGGACGTTCTGGACGGTGAAAGTCTCAACCTAAGAAAGGTCAGTGTAAGTTGCTGGTGATGGCAACGGAATAATACGCGGCTCTCCAGACAGACAAACAATCGTCTGATGGGAAATGATCCGTCATACAGAGAACCTATTGGTTATGCATTTTGCGATCGGTAGGCTTGTAGCAATGCGTTTTGTGTGGGCGTCAGATGGACCGGGTGGCTGTCTCGCTGTGCACTACGTAGTATCGTTCAGACTAAGTTTGCGGCTTTTCGTAGGCATGGTTGCGTTGTATTTGACGGCAAACGCCACCTGAGGGATGCTTGCACGAACGACTTTGTCTGCAGTAACCTCTGACGCGATTGCTCTCCGTGCGTTTGGCAGTGCATGGTGGACGTGATCCTTGAAGATGCAAAGCCAAACGATGAAGCTCTAAAATCTCCTGAGCGTCGACGGTGGTGCGAAGGCAAGCGATTATTAGTTCTCAGAGCTTAAATCGACCTTGGCGTCTACCAGACTCGACAGGAACGCCCCTGGATTGGGTCAAGTACTCGTATATTTACTGTAGTTTATAGACACCTGGGACTATGACCTACACCGACTTTCCCCTTCCACAAGTGGCGAGCACAATACAGTTCGTGTTGAAAACGAAATGGGACTACCCCGCTTCGATTTTCCTGTCAGCCTGGGCAGCCAGTTACTTGTCTCAAATCAAAATAAACGACATATCGGCTGAGGTGTGTCTACTCAACTTCATTCGGGATAGCACACATCAGCTATAACAAGGAGAATGGCCGGCGGTATTGTGCTTTTGTGTACCAATACGTTTGTTGTGGCGCAGGATTTGACTGGACACCCGACTTCCTGGACTCGAATGTCGAGGAGGATATTCGCAGTGGAACGGAAGCACTTCATGGTGAGCATATCCAACCACCTATCGAAGCGTTATTCCAGCAGTTTAGGTTCAACTCTGCCGAACCCTACGACGCTTCTATCGTCACGCCGTTGATTGGGGAAGTTTCACAGTATGTCGTCCAGTGTTGAATGAACCTATGCATCGTCGACTAACCTAGCAGCTTCACGAAACCGCTGTCGCCTCACGGCATTCGACACGAGTTGAGGCTCGCGTTTGGCGTCAATTGTAGCAAAAGACATCAACATGTGTCAGCAACAAGAGGTTTACACGACTTTGCACCTCTCCCCTGCCTCTTGTCACATGGACAGATGTATTGCAAGAATGTGCAAGATTGAACCGGCGAGCCAAGGACGTTCTCCAAGCTATGTAGTACTGAGTTATCCTTCCAGCCACGGCTGTGCAATACTGCTGCCGGTTCTCGTGCCTACCACGAGTTATCCAGGCACTATCAAACACGCTAACCTCGAAGTAGGCGTGTCTTGCCTTTTTCAGTTTAGATATTCCAGTATCCTGTAAGCACGTCGATTTCGAGTCTACATGACACTAGCTAAACGTACGGAGAGGTGAAAAAGAGTCCTGGAGGATCGGATACCAAGTTGCGTCGCAACATGAAGTTCATACACCCCCGCCAACACGGCGCCAGCGTGTACCCTGAACCAGAGCACTTTTTTGTACTTGCTCGGGTCGAAACCACGCTCGTATCGCCAGTTCGCCGCTTGCAACAGCTGCGTTCCACGACACACCATAACGCGTATAATTCCAATCCATCGCGCCATAACCATGCTTGCTTGTGGTTCGCACATAGCTCCCCGCTCCAGGATATTAGGCGAGGAGGTCGTTCACGTTGGCGTCGCCGAACTCTTCATCCCCCCTCCCTGTAGAACAACACGCAGGCAGGCAATGATTTTGTCTATGACTTTTGAAGAGCACAACAGCACTGGTGGCGTTGAACTGGCTTCACATGGTTCCTTTTCTGCGACCAATCTCACGGTGGCGTCGACGAAATCGGTCGAGACAGTTGGAAATTAATTATGCTCCGCCAAGCCCGCGCCGCAGGCCCCATGTCGAGAGCGAAAAGGAGAGCACGGACGAGGCTGGGCATAGTTGGAGTTGCCCAAGAACTCGTTTAGGCACGCAAGCAAGAACCAAACCTCGGTCCGCTCCTACGCCTTCTCGTTCCACAACACGGGCGTTTGGTGCGTTTGCGGGAGATCCACTGCCAGAATCGGACCCTCCAGCGTTTCGTTGCTCGGATCCCCGCCGGTCTCCGCCAGACCATCGCTTCTCTCTTCCTGGATTTGGGTCAGGCTCACCAGGATTGGCCACCTAGTTGTCGACAAATGAGACAAAGTAGCATAATTTCCAGGAACGAGCGTGTGAACATTCTCGACGTTCCTCAGGTGGACGTAACACATGGTCGGTGTTGTACCTGCTGCGGAACGTAGGTATCGAGGGCACCAGGAGTACCGACTGACTGCTGAAGCCGTTCAAACGAAATACACCAAAACATCTAGTATGCTGAAAAGGAATCGTGCTTGTGGCGAAACAGCGAAGCAGTAGTGCATGACGACCCCGCAATTTTCTCTATCCTTACCTCTGTCGTGGCCGTGCTTGGACCCCTTCCAGGCGTCGCCCTGTCCAATCGTGCTAGCTTATGCTGATAGTGTTGGAATGGTCGGTCGTGATCTCGGCAAATTGCCACTAGGTAGCGAAGACCTGTGTCGCATGACAACCAGAACAAGGTGGCGATGGAGCTGATTGCAAGTTATTTGCATACAATACCCCAACGGCGTTGACAGGAGGAGGTTGACAAAGACATACCGACAGAAAGGGAGGGAGGGACAACTAGAGAGATCTATGACAATTCAATACCCCCACCATCGCACCCCGTCGATGGTAGTGATCTCCCGGAAACAACGTACTCCACCGAGATCAAAGGTCGATTTCATTCTTAAACCATCCCGTGCCTCCCAAGTAGTCGCGTTAGAACCATGGACAGGTATATTGTAGGCGAGATGCAGAGGAGAGGTACCCCTTGCTTACATTCGAGGTTTTCCGGGTACTCGGTGTGGATTTGCTCATAGAGCTCCAGCGCCTTCTGGTAGTTCCCCATACGGCGGAAACAGCTCGTGACCATCAATCGCCATTTTACCTTGGAACGGGGACGGGGAGGGGGGTAAGGGACAGATGGAGGCATTTACCACGACACATGAAAAAGAGAGATCGATGCTTGGCGCAAGCACAACGGTCAAAACACTGATAACAGCAGGGTATCACCCGTCCATCTGGATTTAGAGTTCGAGACAGCAGTATTGTAGCTTTCACCGGCTCTCGGAACGTCAACGCAACAAAACATCAACAAAAGATACACGAGGATACCATACAACGGTTTTCGGGAGAGCCCAAACAGGCACATAGGACACTCTTAAATTCTTGCGTCTCACCTCCGTGGGCTGAATCTGTGCCGCAGTCTCAAAGTAGTGTATTGCTTTCTCGTAAAGCTCGCTCTTCACGTACCACACGCCCAACCACGATATCACGTCCAAGTTGACAGGATAATGCCGGTAGCTGGCGCCAAAAATCACGTTTACACACGCGAGCAAGATTTGTTTCATTCAACACGGAACACCAACATTATACGTGGTTGATAGCTGAACATCACAGATAAGGCGGCCTCCAGCTTGTTACTGTAGCGACACTCCCTGGCTAAAATGCGGCTGTTCATCACCTCTCTTTATGGTAGAAGTATGCCTGGCTATCATCATCTTCCTTGTTCGCGATGTGCCCCATTCGACTCAAGATGCCTGGGTCAGTCGGAACGCGTGCAAGTAAGATGTTGAACCACTTCGACGCCTGCGGGAGGTTCTCCATGTGAGCCTGACAAAAGAAAATCCACCAAAAGAGCAACAGGCAGCCTTGTATTGTTATCGAACGAGCCCAACGAGTAACATGCCCATTGGTCACCAACATGCGCGCATGCCGCTTGTTATAACTCTTGCAGCTGTCTTAGGGCTCATAGAAAAACGAAGTTCAGAACATTGACACACTGCCGCGCAAGTCTGCAACAGTCGAATGTGAAACGAGGGTCGTTTGATTGAGGACTGAATCCTCGTCCAGAGACAGACATGCACCCATCACCCGCGCACCCTGTCGCTGAGTTACCTCATATAGGTTCGCTATGTGATAGATGACCTCCGTGTTGTTCGGGATGATCGTGTGGAGCTTTTCGAAAGCCTGGAGAGAGTCGCCAGGGAGGCCCAACTGAATGTTGACCAGACCCAGGTTGTAGATTGCCTCCACGCAGTCCACCTGTGAGGGCAGTGTCGTCCAACGTTTAGGTTAAAAAGGAGCCGCACCATGGGCATGCTGGGCAAGCAAGTACCACGCAAGCTAGCGGGACGGGTAGAGACTATTGGGAACAAATTGTGGTGCCGTTGATTGTCGAAGGAAAAAATCGTGTTCCACTTCACTGAACCGCTGCGCGGTAGACACGGCCAGGATTGTGCAGTTGAAGGAGGCAGCCCTCCAGTCATCCACAAAATGTTGAACGCTGTTCACCCCCAGAGTATTCGCCTTGTGGCCTTAAGGCATGCCTAAACAATATATTCTCGAGGCAGTTCTTACCTCGACCCCGATAGCCTCAAGGAATATTTCTTTCGCGCGCTCATACTCCTTCGACATGAACAAGCAGTTCCCCTTGTTAACAAGAGCCTTGGCGTTGTACCGGTTGTGCCGGATTGCCATATCTGCGTACGACTCAGCGCTCTTGAATTCACCTGAGTCACAAGGATGCGGCCATGAGAGCAAATTGCGCATGGATTACACGGAAACACAAGCGCCATGTATATCACAGAACGTCATGATAAGGTAGGACAGGCACCAGCAATAAAATACTGACAACAACTAACGTCTGAGGTGGCGGTCATCCTGCGGTGAAAGGGGCCTTTCGACTGAACCAAAGTGGGATTGTGGAATTGGGATTTCGACAACACATTACCCTCGAGGAAGTAGATGAATGCGAGGTTGGTGGCCGCCATTGCTTTAAGGTGCTGATCTTTCTTCTCGAACGCCTTCAGGTGCTCGATTGCCTGCGTTGTTTTCGTCGTGTTTGGAGAGAGAACGACAGTGAACGGAGGATGGCGAGATCAAGTACAGTTGCAAGGCCCACCGAAATGTTGAAAATTGAAGTGTTCCCGAATCACGCTACGTTGCCTGGATTGTTGTACTGGGCTACACAATTTACCCAATTCGCTCAGACGGCGTCAAGGGATGTCCCCGGTTACCTTATCAAATTCTTTGGTCTTGAGGTAGTGCAGGGCCTTCTCGACTTCCATCTTGGACGCGAGGTACTCGTGGTCCAACTTGATCGTCTCCACCACCCAGTCGTATCCTGATTCCCAGTCTTTCTTGTCCATCACCGGAGCTATGAGCTTTGCCGCCGTAAAGACGTAGCTGCAAACACGCGTGTAAGGCGCAGGCCAGACTGGTGTTGGATTTGTTGACCGCATTACTATCGTACTCCAGACAAAGCTAGCACAGCCATGCAGCGACGCAGATGGGTTCTGCAGAAGGGACGCCTGACTCACGTGGAACCAAGTTTCCGAACGGTGTGCGGAAGTTCAAGTCCAGCACGAAGAGAACCCCCCACTCAACTCTCTAGCTATCTTTTACGACTCCTCACTGTTCTGCTTCTTTTTTTCGCCTCTGAAGCTCTGCCCGCAGCTTGTCTGGCGCCGCCTGTCCTGTGATCTCAGCCTCATCCGCCGCCTTGGACTCGTCCTCGTCGTCGTCGTCTTCGGTGGTTCCCTTCCAAAAGTCGGATAGACCAGCGGAACAGGGTATGTACATGACCATCGTTGCCTCGTGATTACGGTGTTAGCACGTTAACACCCCAGCACGAGGCCTCTCGTCGGGATCGACATCATGCTATTGCCGACGAAGCCAGCACCATGAAAGAGCTAGAACTACGCCGGGGATAGATAGCCACTAGAATCAAGTGTGGTCGACACATAGGACACACTGTTGAGTTGGCCCGAACCGTGACTTGTGCGCCAACAAGATAATCACCCCACCTTCGTAGCGTTCTGGCCGGCAGCAAGTCTATGTAATTTATAGATCAGAATCGTTTGTGGCAGGCAATCTTATGGCGCTAAGAGTACCAAGTTTGCAGTTTGTAAGAACAACCCACCTCCCGCGTGATGTTTTCTATTGCCTACTAGCTGAGGTTCTCTTTCTTAAGTCAGCCCCGAGGGGATCGTTTCCCGCACATCCCAAGAACCCCAGGCGGGGGGTGTCTCAAACACTTGTATGATACACGGTGCTCTGTCGCAGCTGTCGACTACACGTGAATGACAGAAAAGCACAGTTTTTATCCATTTTGGAACTAATTGGAGTCCGCGAACGAGTCGCCTGTTCTATTGTCAGCAGAATGGAAGAGAAACCAACGTGCATTGGCAGGGCGTATGCTCTGGAATAGTCAGCCCAACCCATTCACATGATTCGCAATCCTTGTGGTCACGTCTCTTGGAGTGTACAACTGGAGGTTTCACATTCACAGTACCTGAACTGGAATAGCTGCAAGCCGTTGGAACGCCTTCTTCATCGAAAGTCCATCTTCCAGAGCGTAGTAGCACAGGACTAGATTGAAGCCGGTCTGGTGGTCGGGATTTCCCTGCATGATTGTGTCATACTGACCGATCGCGTCCTGTCGTGCACATTTGAAAATCAAGGTTGAAGGGACCTGCCTAATTTACTAATTTGCACGTAGCCAGCTGGGGTCGTTGCCAGGACTACATACATACATCAGTACTGGTGCTGTCGTGAACCAACTGGTGAATGGTTTTATCGTGACGGCGTCGATTGCTGAAATGAATCCAAATCAAATTACCGCACATATAGTGAGGAATATCACCTGGAATTGCCCCATGCGCACAAAGGCAGTCCCAATGTTGCGGATGATCTTGAAGCGCACTTCTTTTCCGGTGTTGGGAACCTCAACAGGGTAGGAAGAAACATGTTGCACACGACGAAATATGCAAGTGAAAGCAACACAGGCAATCATCAACCATGTCAATCAGGAGAAACCTCGCATTCCTTGACCTCTGCGGTGTGTTACTATGTGCCGTGTCCGTAGAGACGGAACAACCCTTTGGTTCCAACCATGTGAGAGGCTTACCTGATCCAGTGCCATTCTGTAGTGCTTTATTGCCTCCGGGTATTCACGCTAGGGTAGAGCAAAGCGGCAAACAAGGGCAGAAGAATCCGAAGGCAAGAGAGACGCTGTTCATAAACGAAAAACAAACAGTCGACGGTGTCTGCTTTTCCCGGCCTGGGCATTTTTTTTGTTACCATACCGGTAGAATTCATCCCGAGGGCAGGTGTGACACAAGCGTCGAAGGGGGGTCTTCCTTACGACTACAATATCCTGGGGGCAGGAACCCCGGAAACAGATTTGTTATGACAAGTAAGAAACGTGACCCCCCTCAGAACACAAACTACCACAATAGTTGATCGAGCGTGCTACATGAATACAAGAGAGGGACAACAGTTTGTGTATCGCCGAAAATAACCATTGGTCATTGAGATGACAGAACTACACAAACACACATACAAGGGGTAGAGAGGGGATTATAAACGACGCGTCCCCATGGCGTAGTTGTCATTGCATCTGTTGCGCGCGGGCAAGTACGTAATGCAGCAGGAAAGAGGATGCTTCGCTGTGGTAAACTTCAGCTTCCTACGCTTGTAAGATAGAATCTCTCGACAGGATTTGTTGATAGTCCTCCTTTTTATCAGGTTCGAAAAGCGCGATGGCTTGCAAAAAATGCATGCACCTATGGCAAACCAGGAAGTCGGTTGGAGCAATATTGGTTGGTCAACCACCTCAAATCCGTTGTTATTGCGCCGGTATGGCCTCACCTGCTCGTAGTAGATATTACCCATGTTCGCCCGAAGTCGTCCAGCCTGTGGGTACTGTTTGTTCTTCACGATAGCGCTGTACTCTCGCAAGGCCTGCGCGTAGTAACGCACGCACGTTGTGATTCAGCCCATAGGAGCTTCGTAGACTTACAACCTCAGGAGGAACCACAGATCTACACAACATCGGACGGGAAGGGAGAAACGCTGTTGTCTGGTACATGATAGGCATCACCTCTTTCTTCATGCCATTCTGGTGGTAGCAGTTGGCCAGGTTAAAGCAAACCGCATAGGTGAGGTCGAGGTTGATTTGGTCCACCAGGCCGTACCTTTCCCTCTGCTTGCACAAGGCCTTCTCTTTCTTGTCCTGAATTAGCAGGGCAAGTGCAAGGAGTGGCACACCCATCACATGCCAGACGAACGAGCCGCGCCGACTTGGTCTGTACGTGCTTGTAATTGTGCATGTACAGTGTACAATACGATGGGTTATCGAAAGAAAATTCCCCCGAACAACAGCACCGATTTACTGCTAGCTGCGCAGAGAACAGGCCGTTCGAAGAAAGGGAGCACTGCCCTGGCTTCGAAAGGCCACGTACTCATTGTTGCCTGTTCTCCCGCAGTGAAAGTTCACCACCTTCCCCGGCGTCCCTAAACCTGGAATACCATGGAAAGAAGTGAAACAACTAAACCGAAAGCTGCTCCTGACTTACAGCTTCTTTGGCCTTCTCTAGGGCTTGGGGAAAGTCTCCCGAAACACACGCGCTGGCACTTTCCTCCATCATCGCGTGTACCTATCCGGCAATGTGGGGGGTATTAGAGCACGTAGAAGTCAAGCAGCACAGTGTTTAGGGGTAAGCAACAATATTGGAAACTTCCAGCATAACATGTTTGGAGCACCTGAACCTTTTACAAGTACCCCAACATGATTGCAACGCGATCAGCTAACCGAGGACCCTATCGTGCAAGTTCAATCTACACAAGACACGAGGACAAGGTTGGAGGTACCTGCCGTTCCATCTCCTTTGCGAGATATTCTGGACCGTTGTCAGACTTCTCTGCCAGCGCAGGGGCGGGGCCATGTCCTTGGTTCAACGGGTCGAATGTTCCTTGTTTCTTCGACTGGTAACCGGCGCCGGACACCGAAGTCATCGGTCGCGCTTCCCCACTTGCCCTCAGGGCTGTCCCTGGCACGGCCTAGTGCAACGGGCGTCATACCAGAATAATTTGTACGTGAGGTGGAGTTGACATCCGGTGCCACGCCACGAACAACCTGCAACGGTGATGCTACCACCAAACGGGCATAGCTTCAACCTTGCCCGAACATGGCATGACACAATTAAGTGATCAGAGTATGCTACATGCCTCTCCCCCTTGAACCTCCTGAAAATCACCCGAAGTCATACCGCCTCCAAATCTCTCACAAGTATCACCGGGGGATAACATCAGGCGCGCCTTTCCACGGCAGAATCCGATGTACAGAACGCGCCACTTAAGGGCTTGAGTCAGAAGAGGTTTCAGAATGCCCAAAAATAAGAACTCACACTACTAAAATTGTGCTGGCTCTGTTGCTTCCCGCATGTGCGGTTGAGTCTGGAAAGAAGGCCCAGCCTCCAGATTCATGGAACTTGCCACACGACATCGAGCACCAAAGACAACCAGTGACCCACTTCGGGCACTATTCATCTACACACATCGCCCAGACCACTCGTTCCGCATCCATTTATTTCCACATGTATGAGTGATGTAACGTGTTAGCGTTCATATTTTACACCAGCTGAACTTACCCCTGTCATCATCCTGCCCATTTGTGATGGCGGAGGCCTGCCAGTACTAGTTCCTGGGGCTCGCATTGCAGTCGACGGCCCAGAACTCCGCATTGCCCCTGCCGTGCCCAACGCACTAGTCCCCGGGTAGGTGTTGTGCAACACAGATCCCGGCAGCTGACTTGGAATGCTGGAGGGTACGCATCGCGCGCATGAATCATTTCGTAATATTGCACAGCACCGGTTGGGTCAGGCGTACTGAGGGGTACTCCAAAAACACGGGTATTGTCTCTCCGAGGTACACGCTCCCGTCTGATGCGCAAGACCACCACACAAAAGCCTCCCATTTGTTTGGGTCTGGTCTAGGAACAAGTCGTTACTCATCTCACATGTGAATCTACCCGTCCGACCCTGCACCACTTCTGCATACAAGTACAGCATTGCATTCCCTCACGTGTACGCGCCAACGAATTCCTTCCACAGGTACAGCAGCGGGTAAGAAATGTCGAAAACTCACCTCGCTGGGACTTGTACAAGAACAAGAACAATATAAAATGCAGTAGGTTCGTAAGGTTGTGGATTCATGAACTTACAGAGGCACGCGTAGTCTAAATACTCTACAGCAGAGTATCGCTACAAGAAGGCTCCGCCATTCCGCCCGATGGCCCTCTTACTTCCTCTGTGACGCGATGCGAACAGCGACTACATAGGGTCTACAGTAGTAGTGTGGGAATCTTAACTGAGCACCTGTTCTTACGGTCAAGTTCTTAGGGTCCATATTGAGTTTTGACTCCCAGATTGTGTGGCGTTGTGTTTACGCCTGCCTTTGGTCCGTCCGGGAAAATTTCCCATTTGCGTTTCAGGCCAGCCATAACCTTCGAAATATGTCGAATTAAATGGACATTCAACCATGATATGCTAGTAGCACCCCCCATCGCAAACAATATAGGTTTCAACCACAATGGAAATTGCACCACACTAATTTCAAGATATTTTGGGGTAAAACATGTGAAGACTGGAGAAAAATCTCGGGTTAACGCAAATTCGCTTTTCGGAAAAATCGAAAACAATCGCATTTGCGGAATTTCGGAAGGAATCGTTTGCCGCACCTTAGCAAATCATACCAGGTACAGTTGTGGGCCCGGTTAAGCGGTTCCCTGTTTAGCCGGATGCCCTGAATGGAGGTTATAAACTCTCGTGACACGGCTGCACCCCGGTTTAGCGGTTGTTGGTGGCTGAAAACATGTTCAATAATCGCTATTGAGGGCACGACCGGCTTAGCGGTTGTCCGGTCGTGCCTTCAATAGCGATTATTGGACATGTACAACCGCTGAACCGTTCGTGCCCTCAATAGCGGTAATTGGACATGTTTTCAGCCACCGATAGCGGTTGTCGGTTCAATTTTTGCGGGGACCTAGTGCGCGCTTCGCTTGCACATACTCACAGCACAGCGACATTGGTCAGCCTGTTAACTGGTCGGTGCTGATAATAAAAAGGACACAGCGACACACACACACACACCAAACGACGCAGGGCTAGAGATGAATTGCCGGGAATAGCTGAAAAAACGACGATGAGAGTGATGGTCGTGAAGGCAAGGAGGATGATGGTGAAACCACTCCAAAACGAACTCGAGTGCAAGGTAGCAGTTTTCCTCTGTTGCTACCCTCTCTGTCCTTAATCCGGGAAATAGCTTTTGCCTGCCCCATGCCGCCCCCTCACGGGATCCCAGTTAATGACATACATAAGTGTTTCGTGATTTCAACCGCGCTGAGACTGACGACGACGTCTTTTCATTGGTCAAACGGTTAGCGCGGTCGATGCTTACAATAAAGACACACCATGCGGCGCATGGATGGAGAACTTTGCAAGCTTCTAGATGCGGCACTGAGTCCAAACGGCGCGCACGATTGTAAAGGTTGCTGTGGCGGCCGCATACACGGCATGCGTGGGGAGGTGGAAGATCTAGATGACAACGATATGCAACCGGCGTGCAACCAAGAAGGCGCAGAGTTCCCCTCACTTCTCAAATCCGCCCAAGCGCCAAGAGGAGGAAGGTGGCTTTCTCGCACCAGGCGCGCGGAAAGAAACAACTCGCGCTGCAGCTACGCAACAACAGCCCCACATGCGGCTCTACTTTGGCTAGAAGCTCGAGGTTCTGAAGCTTCTTGACCAGAAGGTAGCGCACTCAGAAATAGTGCGCACAGGAAGAGATCTTTGCATAATAGGACGCGAATGACGAGGTTGTTGAAAGTTGTCCGGTATGTGCATGGAGGGGGGCCTAACCCCTCCGACGACGACACGACGACCTAGACCTAGGGCTAGATACCACGGCACAAGTTGACGGTGCGAAGGGCAGCGGGGTGATGGCGCCGCCACCATACTCGGAGCTAACATCGGATTTTGGCCAGCGTGGAGAGCGCGGAGTCGTGTGGCGTAAGCGAAGCAGCACACTATTTCGCAAGGCAAGAATGGCGTTCCTCGCAGCGCACGCCGCTCCTCCAGCGCGCAAGGCAGATACCAGAACGATTATTTTGGGTTAAGACTGATCGATACGCGACACATGGCAGAAATGAGATGCTCAAGCACTTGGTTGATGGCCATTGCGTTGTTACAAGTTTGTCTCATCACCTTCACTTCGTTAGAGGCGCGAACGATTTCCAGTCTTGATGAGGGGCATACAGTCCAGAAGGGAGAATAATCTTCGTGCTTTGGCAAATTAAAATAAATGCACTTTTAATGAATGTGCTTGCGGCGTTGTCCTTATTTGACTCGTTACTTCTTCATCTACATCTTCGTATGACTGCTGCAATGACATACATTGCCCTATCAAGATGAGCTCTCGAAGCTGCTCTTGTAGGGCAAAAATAGGCTTTTTCTCGGTTTAGCGGTTCATGACCGCTAAAGTGGTTTAGCGGCGATGCCCTGAATAGCGGTTATGAAATTTCGTGACACTGAAGGACCGCTAAACTGGGCCCACGACTGTAGGTTGGTTTATCGCAGGAGATTGAGAACAATTTCCCGGTTATTTATCTGGTGATGGAAGCCGAAGAGCAAACACAACAAAAAAAACGATAGACAGATTTGTGCGCCTGGAGACGGGACGTTATGCGGTGTAGTTGAAATTCTGGAGAACCTCCCTACCCCAAGAAAAGTGGGGCGAAAAAGTGGATTGAGGACCCCAACCGGACCTACAAGTGCGTGTACTCCTCTTTGGCGTGGGACAGATGTCCTATATTTTTTCTCCTTTGCATATCACACACCTGGTATGGGGTGTGGACTATGTAGCAAGGCTTCCCATCAGATGTAAGCAAGTGAGGATCAGCCTGACGACTATCAGAGGGCCGGTGTTATTGCATATACATGTGCAAGCTTCAGATTGTTGCATGAACTAGTTCACCAAGCCGAGAACAGAGCAGCTGGCTTGCTTCCTCACTTTTGGATCCTTGGATCCTCAGTTTGAGTCAGGGAATCGAACCGCTGAGCACTTGCGCACACACCTACCTGTAGTTGAAATCCTCGTAGAGATCATCATCTGGATCCGCTGGTTTCCCAAGATCCACACTCCTGTTACCGAATAACATTGTGAGCTCAAGAGCTGAGAGAGAGAGCTAAGATCCACCACGCTTCCCGCAGAGAGAGGGAAGGGAGGAGAGGGAGGGGAGAGGGGTGCGGGGAGCGGGAGGGGGAAGGGACAAGCGGCGGAAAAGTTTTCTGATTACGCCGCATTTTTTGGCGGTTACGGTATTTTGCTATTTTTCTAATCCTCGACTACAATACACAACCTATTCCGCATACCCGAATGTACAGCAGTAGTACAACTTTTTGTTTTTTTGGAGAAAGTGTACACGGTATCATCATCAACCCACAGCGGAGGGAACCCCACTCGAAAGGAACCTAAGGGAATGTGTGCGTAGAAGTCCGCACATGATATTTCCTGTGTCGCCATCGACGAAGACGCACACCAGCAGCTGATGTCGCAAACTGTGCACTCTGTAGGGTCCACCATGCCTCCCTCGGCTCTGATGGCCGCTGACCGAGGGCCACACGAAAGGCTTCTGGACTCACTGGTTGACCACAAAAGCGCTGCCGTCTTTGTACCACCAAGGCGCTCCCGTCGACGAGCTAACCCCCGTCATGACCCACTGCAACTTCAGGACGCTGCAAAGGTAGTCTCGACAGCTTGGAGTCCAGGAACCGAAGAATTACCCACTAGGTGTGTGTTGGGGGGCATGAAGAGCGGGCGCGTGTAAGAGAGTACAAATCCTTCCATATCGATACCTAGAGTACCACAGTACAGTAAATGTGAGTCGTATATTTCTACACAGTATTTTCGTCCGTGTGCTCCGGATCGGCGGAAGCCATGTACAGCAGTTAGCGCCCGTCGTCTGTTTGGGATCGAGGATCGAGGCTCAATTTCCATTTCGTCACCACTGGTGCCCTTGTACATTTCGGCATATTTTTGGCATACTAAACGGGTTCACTTCATTTTTTTATTGCATAGTCTAGACTATGTATGTATGACCGGAGTAGTACACCAGTTCGGTCGGGCGCATGCCGGGGTTGCGATCGGGGGGGCGAGGTGAGGGGGGGAGGGGCGGTTGAAGTGGGACGGCGATGGGTCTTGTACAACCACGTCCGACGGACGCGTCGTGTGTTCGAAGAGGACACGAGTTTCCTTCAATATAGACACACGTGATCGGTGCTTTACTTACAAGTTACCTCCACCCTTTCCCTCGGCCTCACCCCTGTTGTTGGTCCAACAGTTTCTGCACTCAAAGCGTGAGGCCAAACTCATCATTCTGGGTTTCGAAATCTAAGCAGTCGGACCCATTTCTTCAGGTAACTTCCAATATGTCAATGCACTGTTTCGTGACAATTATCCCAAATGTATCTCAAGACTTGTCGCGTCATATCTCATGGAGATATAGTTGGCCAATTCCTGTGTTATTCGGACTCTCTCTCCCCTCGTCCAGCAGTTGCGAATGGTACAGTAGTAGGCAGCCAGAGCGCTCCGAATGGCTACTCGTGATGTCCATACAACCACGAGCACATCGCCGGGCAACCATCGTAGGCTCATTCCGTTTTCTGCAGTGTGAGACACGTTTCTGCTAGCCGATGCCGTCTGAACACATATTGCGGTCTAAGTCACCTCACAATATCATTGTGCTCCTGCTGCATGCTCATTCTCTTTCTCGCAGAAAATGCTTGCTGCGAAAAACCTAAGCCTGGAGCGGCTACCTTTCAGAGATGCATGTTTGTTCCAGTACGGTTTCCTTCCAGACCAGTACACGCCCCATAGGTGAGTATCGTGTTGCTTTTGTTCGTCTCCGGCATGGCAATGTCGTACTCATGGGGTGGTACATTCGTTGATGCCTAAGTCGGAATTTCGATTGAACGTGATAAAGCGAACGGTCTGTATTTCCGAAAAAGAGATAACAGCCTTGTCACGCGCGGAAGGAACACCCCCCTCGTTTATTGGAAAATGCTAAGCAACACCTACAGTGTAGTACATCCGCGAAACTGCTATCTTTACGTAATGTATGAGGGCACTACCGTCTTGTGCCGTCTTCTTTGCTCGCAGCCCAAAACTTTCGATTGACCGGGGGTGGAGCCTCAGTGGGGCACGAATATTACGTGTGCGCAGAATCATCGGGAGTGTTGCTCTACAATCAAGGACCGCAGCTGAGAGTGATGAAGCTCACACCACAATTCAAATAGTGTTAGAATACACTGCTCAATCTAGGCGACAAGATGAGAAACATCATCACGACATAAGAGCGATCGATACCCCGATCGACATACCGTAGGTAGGGCACTGTACAGATATATTTGGGAAGAGTCACGAGAAAACGTCCCCGAATGGCTACCCCCCGCCACCCCCACCTGCTCAAATCCCACCCTTGTGCACTTATTGCTGGAGGGGTGCATGTTTGCGGCGCGCCGACCCGGCCGGTATGCCCTGGGTCCGAGCACACCCTCGTGCTGAGCGAAGCACGCATAGTAGGATATGGCCGTCGTCGTCGATACCGTATCATGAATAAGGAGTCGCCGTCGGGGCATGGATAGTGCTAGAGGTAGACCAAGAGGAGGGGTTCAGTCATCCAGACACCGACAATCTCAGTGTGCGCCACATAGGTCTTTCGGGTATTCAACGGGATGGAGCGGTGTGCTGCTATGTTGTTGTGTTGTCTACTGCGGTGAAAACACCTTGAAGGTATTTTGATCGTTGCTTGTTGAGGGGTTACAACCTTCGAGTGACCCAACCCGTTGTTGCCGTTGCTTTCTTTCTAGTGTGTTTCTTTTTTTAGTCGGCGGTGACGACACATTGGCGGTGGCGTGCTAACGTGATATCCAAAGCTAACGAAAGATGGTCTGGTTATTTGACGGAGACGTGGCGGGAGCCGAGGAAATCAGGAGGCTGACGATAAAAACAGCAAGACTTGGCACAATACACTGTAGAAAAAAAAAGTACGTCGAAGGATCGAGCGACTACAGTTCGGTACATTCATGGTGAGGTTGGCAACGAGTTTGTTCGGTTGATTTTCGGCTCAAAACAAGAGGTTAGCTTCAACACCAATTGACCTCTTTCATGTCCGGGCCCGAATGTACTGCTGCTACAATCGAGATTTGGTACTTTGCCGGCAAAGTACTGTAGATGTGTTAACATGAGCTTTGCTGACTTTGAACATACTGCAGAACAATGACTGACTGCACTCCTTCCGCAATCGCCCACAGGGACGATCAGTCAGCCAGCCTCCACCCTTGCGACAAGATCGACGCTAAGCTTCCGACGTCTCTTGTCCAAATGACTGCGAAGAAGCAGCTCGAGAACGGGTCATCACCATTGTCCGCGGTGTCGGCGTGGGATGGAACGACAAAGAACATCACGGCGCCGTTGCTTTGGCGGAATCGAGAGCCCCTGTTCTAAATGAGGACGCGCAATCGCGAAAGACAGCGTGGCAGTCTATGTATGTAGTCTAGATTCGAAGAAGATCAATAGGTTTTACTGTCGAGCCAAGAAAATTGCAACTTCAATAAGGTACACACAAAAGTACATAGGAACGGTTCCGTGTTGTTCGCCAGTGGTTTTTCTCTTACGATTCTGTACACTCGTTTGGGATACTTGTGACCACGTACGACAATCAATGTCTCTTCGCTTTGAATAGTGCAAGGTAAACGAGGTACTGCATTAACATATACGTGTAGACAATACAGCAAATATCTGTTAGTGTGTATTCGTAGCATCTATTCTGGGCGTGCACCTACCTGTCGGTATGTAAAGTGCAACGGCGTACATATGGTATGGCTTTTTTGCGTAGTAGACGCCAGTAACGAGGGTCCTTACTATTGGTGCACACGACGGATGCATGCAAGGCACGCTGTTTGCTGAGCGGCTTTGAAGATTTCGATGCCTTACGTTTTCGCACGTACAGGGAATGCTAACAGCGTTGATTGGCAGCCTAAGAATTCCGTATTTTTCGGGAGGCTCGCGGCTAATTAGTGGCCTCAACCAGTACTGATTTTCCAATTTTGAAATTGTCGTGTTGGTACACGTACATTGTGTCAACATCAATATGTATTCTTTGGTTGTTTTACCAGATATACGTTCGAAAACTGAGACAGGCCCTATCCTGAAACCTTCATCAATGGCAGGACTCCCTGGGTCAAACGCAAACACAAACATCGACCCGTCAGCGATCAGTCTTGTCACAATCACATAGGAAAAACGGTGGCGTCATGGAGCAACTCTCAACCTTCTTGATCCATCAAAGGACAAATTGGGCGCTACATTCGTAGTACAAGTTCTTCTCTGCGCAAGCAAAGCTCATAAAGCTACCACCGCATCTAAGTCTCACCGTACTTTTCCGAAAGTAGCTTCATGCTGCGCGAATCTAACCCGCAAGTGCAAACGTTAGTTGTATAAGGTGGCGAAGTAACCTGCGGAGATTAACCCCTAAAACCCAACGTTTGGCCCACTTAACGAGAACCTCACACATGAATAACAGTTTCAAACTGTACAGTAGAGCAGCGAGGCTGCGACGCTTCAAAGCGAAAAACGTCCGGAATCCGTGTGCCGTGTGTCTCGTCGTCCGCGTCCGCGCTGTCGTCTTCGTCCAGAAGTCCAAGCTCGTCGTTTCAGGGTGTGTCTGAATAGCGAAGCGTCGCAAAAGCACCACAAGCAGGCAGTTCACCGTCGTTGCATTATTTTGATTAATCAACCAATGCGGATATCACGTGATTAACACAACACCGGCACCAACAATAACAACAACCACCACCACAAACAGCAACAGCTATAAAACAACAGAGGGAAACACGAGAAAAGAAAGACTCTGGTAAACTTGATCCTAATCGCCATTACCACCGACTCCGTGGCGAGAACAACCGTCCTCCATTCCCTCCATGCCATTGCCACCCTCACCCACATCACCCAAGCTCGCCTCTCCGCCTCAACGGCCTGGTCATACCCCCCCCCCTCCATCGCTACCAGTCTCTGACGAAGTTTCCCCGTTGTCGCATGAGTCTTCAGTGTCTATCCATGTGCGTGTTGTCCAAACCCGTGTGTGTTGTCCAAACCCTCCCATGTGATTCGATCATTGTTGAACCAGCCACGGGCGGTCGTTGCCGTCCCCCTCTATTGGGAACAGGCGAAGCCGGTAGCCCGAGCGACTCACGACAACTTCCAGTGCTTCCCTCGCCCGTTCCGCCGTCAACGCACGCCCACCGGCGCCGTCAACGCGTTGCTTTAAACAAATGCTTTTCTCATAGTGCTGGTAACACCCGATCCTCCCCCCCGCCTTCCCCAAGGTAAAAATGAGGACTGGGGACATTGCCCTTCGAGAATGAATGTAGACCAAGATTTAGGAAGGTAGACGAAGACGGCGACAAGTTCAATTGTAGCTGCGGCTCCGAGTGCGAAGACCATGCCGATGTAGTTGCTGAATATATATCTGTTGTATGCATACGAAAATAAGAGAGTCATGTACAGACTGAGCTGGGACAACAGAAGGGAGGCAGAGAAAGAGAAAGAAAGACGTTTAAGGCATGGAATTAGCCAGGAGAAGACGGTAGTTGTCCTGGGGTTAAGACGGAAAGTGATATCGACAGGATAGGATAGAAAACGTTTTTGAGCCACGTTTCTTGAGGCAAGGTACGAAGGAACGATTGGCCATAATAGGTAATCGGTCGTCGTGTGGGAACAATGCTTCATCCTCTCGAGGACGCGTGGTCAATGATCTAACCGCTAAGGCTTGCAAAATATTTGTACACGTCCCCCCCTCCCTAACCAAAGGTATGGATGGATGTAGTCTATGCATATTATTACTGTTGTTGCAAACTGCTGTGGTTTTATCTCGAATAAATAGTCTAATAGCAGTCTTTCTGTGTACTTTATTTTAATACTGCTGTGGTGCGTGGTTGCGTGGTTCGTGCAAAGAGCGGCCCGCAGGCCCGCAGAACACAAAAAGAGGGGTACACGGTATACAAAATAAGCGTAATCCATTTAATCCATTTATCATTAATTCTGACGGGCCCCCGGTGCTTAGCAAAACAAGTTTCCTTAAAACGGGGAGTTTCCTTAACCCGAGCGTCCTTAAAGCGTGTAAGTATGAAAATATTGAACTTCTTGAATACAGGTGTGGTTCCTCCGACGGAGGAGGGCTTTCGAGCTTTTCAGGCAAGATCAACCAGAACCCGGGAATGTCAGAGATTTCCCGCACCTGCCACTGTCTCCTTCCTCTTCCTAACCTTCTGGTTTGTGCTCTCGCATCATCAATAATAGTCTCTGGATCACCACTCTCTGCATCGTCGTGTGCAGACTTCCTCTTCGCTTGATCCGCCCTTCCTAGATAAAAACGCCTCATCTCTCTCGAATTACTTTTTTTTTTTCAGCGCCCCTCCCATCTCACGCATCCCTCTTTTCGCACGCCACGGGTGACATCACGACAGCCAGAACACGGAGAGAGCGACAGAGATCGAACAAGAAGTAGCACAATAAAGGAGTAGCAAGTCTGTCGTGCTGGATCAATCGTACACGACACCCCCCTAATTGTTTCCTCCGGCCCAGTGCGACGCAAATATCCGGGAGGCACGCAGCGGGAGGTAGGTAGACAGGTCTGCTGTAGCTCACCCTGTACACTCTGCTAGGAAACACCAAGGCGGAGGAGAGCTTGGGGAGGGCGGACGAGCAGCTGATGGGGAATAAGGCGGCGATCCAGCTCGAACTATCGAACGGGGAAGCACAGGTTTTGCAGGGAGAGGCCATGAGCGTGAACGAAGAAGGGTGCTCTGGGTTGCCAAGTGCTGCCGCGGGTGCCTCCGATGGTAGCGGCGATGACGAACGGGCTGACGAAAGGGCTGACGAAAGGGCTTACGGTAGCCCGGCCGAGGCAGAGGAAGAGGGAGCAGAAGTGGAGGCTGTTACCACCCTCGCCCCGGGGGAACGTGCTGAGGAAGCCAACAATTTTTCTCGGAATAAGAGTGAGACCTCGACGAGCGACAATCACCCCTCGGCAGGGTCGCCACGTACCGATGCTGTTCCGGTAAGGCCTTCGGAGCATATGACGGTCGCCAACAACGACAACGACGTAGTAGTAGCAGCAGCAGCAGCAGCAGCAGCAGCAGCGGCAGCAGCGGAGCCGGCTCTCCCCCCTCCACCGCCGGTTCTCCCTCCTCCATCAGCTCCGCCATCCGCCGTGGCCAAAGACCTTCAGCTCCCTCCTCTCAACGATCCCTCAGGGTCTGAAGAAGCGCCAAGGATGTCCGCCCGCGGCTCTCCCAGCAGCAGTGGGGATCACAAAGGAGCACAGTGAGTTATGATGGTATGATCCTGTGAGAGGTGAAATGGCATTCGAGGGCCATCGAATGGGGGAATTCTAGCTTTAAGAAGCGAAACTAATGTTTTAGTGGGCTGCCTGTTGCGTCCCCTCTCGATCTTGCCATCTTGCCATTGTCTTGTTTCGTTCGGTTGAATTTATGTCTTGGCACCGAAAACTTGTGTTTCACGAAGGGCGTTTTTTTTCACCCGCCTGATCGTGTGCTTCTATTTTTGTATTTTTTCAAGAGTAGAGTGAAGGTCTTGAGCGCAAAACACGCGAGCTAGTCCATCCGGTAGCTATTACTTAGGCAACGGTAGTCATGACGTTATTTATCATGAAGCATGTGCTGAGCAGCCTGGTATTGCTATCTCCATTATCGTTCAGGGTGCACTGTGTAGGGTGTGAACTCCGTATTTCTTTCGGTAGATTAAACCAAGTTTTTGCGCGCCACGCCGGGCGCTTGCCGCACTTTCCCCAAGCAAGGTCGCTGTCGGCTGCGCTGCTGTGGCTACTGTGGTTTTCGACGGCTTGAAAACTATGTTTTCATCCCCTTTGTGCGCTGAAATAATATATTCTCGTAGGCGACCGCGGTATCTATAACGGCCCCTTTTACATTCGTACGATCCAAAGTTATCTTCAGGTCAAAGTTCTCAAACTTGCCAAAGTTCTCAGTCCAATTAGGCCCGTGTATACGGGGGTAGGGCTAGACCCACTGGTTCAGTATCGGAAGTGGCTGAACATCGGTGGCCTTGAAAACCGCCGAGGAGCAGTCTGTTGGTGAGTCAGTGTCCCCTGACGAAGTGCTTCGATAATGGACATTAGTTCGCATGTTGTCCTTAATACACTTATAGACTAGCCCTTGGCACTTGGCACGCGTTAATCTCGCGCCTTGCAAGGTGCGAAACTCGTCTATTACAGAGGCACGCATATCTCATTTCTTCTGCTGTGAACGAAGTACTGCAGTATATGCGGTCGGATAACACCCACGGAGTCCCCAAACCGCCGCTAGGTTTCAAGGGTTCCAGCATTTCAACTTCGCCGCAATACCATGGCCATCTGCTCGCCACAGTCACCCCCCTGGCCGAAACCGACCTAAGCAAGACTGGTGTCGAGGTTGGCCGTGGAGTGATGTTGAAACGAAGCTTCGTAACGAAAGGCTGTACCTTGTACATGATAATCAGATTCGGATTCTGCCGTAGGAAATGACGCCTCTCTCAAATATGCCTCCGCTCACTCGCGGATGACCCTAACCCTACATGTCCCGATTTTTTAGACCGCAAAATCGATCGCGGTTTTGGGTGTGATTCGTGCGAGGTTAGAGCGCTGCATTCGATAGTTGTCGGTTGACACGAGGGCTCCTGTCGGGGTTGTTGCTGTGTGGGTGATTTGGTGAAAAAATGTTTCCACGCAGCAACTCGCGAAACGGGCGTGTCCCACACTGTTCCAACAAAATCTTGTTGAACAGTGGTTTTCAGCCGAAAGTGCCTCAATAAATATGCGGCACTACATTCTAGACATGGTGGCCACCGGAGCGGTTGTGGTGAGTTCAATCGCGATGTCTTGCATGCTTAAATGGCGATGCTGGAAGAAGCCCCAAGATTGATTGGTGTACGGGATTGCTCAGAGGAGTTCTACACCCTGAAAGCCCGACCCTTGGAAATCACCCCCTGCCGTACATTGACGTGTCGTTATGCGACGTCTCGGCGGGGAGGCTTCATCGTCGTTCAAAACCCGAGACAAACGGGTACAACAGTGCGGCGGAGATATTCGCAGTTTTACGTTTCGTTTGCTCAAACTGAATCCTGTGACAAAGAACAGGTGTGCGGCGTCGAACCCAAAGCTACCGCCCATGGTGATACATGATTGGGCAGGTGCACCCTAAGACGCGCGTTCAGGAACTTCAAGTAGACCTCTGATCGGCTCATGTTTGTGTGTCGAGCGCTCTTATTTTCTCCCACGGCGTATGCGCACGTTTTCCTGTTCTCCGCGTTCCGATGAGCAGCGTCGAAGTGTCGGTCTTCAAATATCAACCGGGGGTGCAAACCCCGGTGGAACAACTTCACAACTACCGGATCAGCTCTAGAGGAGGAGCCATCACGGGGAGTCTTACCCAGACGGAAGAGAGGAGGGGAGAGAACGTTAGCGGGTCGGTGGATATCGCTGCAGGTTTGTTTGTGTTCTTCGTCATTCGATGTCCTCTGGGTGCCTTTGTATCTGTTGATGGCAATACGCTCGACCGTTTGTCTCCCTTCTTTCTCGGCAGTGATATTCACACCGTATTTGATTCGCATCTTTCGCATCTCCGTTGCTCACCTTCATCTGTGCACGCAAGGCATCACAAACAAGAGTGACTGCACCCAAAACTATTTTCTTGCACAAAGCGCTTTGCTTCGATGCCGTGCATCAATGAATCCTCGCTCCCGCCCATTCGGCATGGATGACAAGCGTTTGCGTGCCGTACGACAATTAGGTTTCTGGAATCCGGAACCATAAGAGAATACACCTGATGCCATACATCTGTTGCGTCCAGCCGTACTCTGATCCTGTTTTTGGGCCCAATACTTCTTGACCCGAGCCCTACAGCGTGCAATGATGTAGAATATGAGACAAGCATTTCACGTGGTGTTTGTCGGGAGCACATTGGAAGTTTCTCTCGTGTAACAGGATACAGCAACCAAGCACATGCTGCCATGATCAGTTTTAACACCTGTTTACGGTTCCGGCGAGGTGTTCGTTCGGCTCGCTAGAGTCTGTTTCCTCGTGCTGTTCTTATCTGCTGTGTGAGGCCCACACCGTTTACCACCAGAGAGAGTGGCGCTGCACTTGCCCGCATGTTATTGGTGCTTGGGGTTGTTTGCATTTTTCGTTGGGTACCATCTCGACGAGCCGGTCGCCCCGGTAATCTAGTTGGTATCCTCGAAAACGATCTAGTGGCCAGGGCCAGGGGTTCGAATCCCGGCGTAAGCAAGCTTTTCTTGCAAAGTGAGTTTTTCTCTCACTTCCTGGCCTTGGTGTAAATCGCTAGTTCGTGTGTACACAGAGGGAAGAAAGTGCTGCACTCTTCTCGCATTAATACTCGAAGGAAAGTACCGCAAGAAGGCTGAGTAGGAGCGTCAGGGAGAGGAGCCCTTCTGTGTGACCGTAGGTTGGAGTACATGGCACAAGTGCTGTGAGCGCTGACTTGAAGTGAAATTTGAATCATGCCCTTCGGTTGATGATGCCGTTGCTACGAACTTTCCTTCGAGACCGGAAGACACATCTTGCTTCTAGCTTTCGGTCACGGCTTCGACAATAGTCAAAGATTCTTCTGTTGGTCCGACCCAAATGTTGTTTCTTGACGTGCGCCACAACCTTGACCTGTCAGAGTACGAAAAGCGAAAGGGCTCGCAAGTGGTGCGGCACCACATCAAGGACCACCGTGCCAAGCAGCTGTTGGTTGTACCCAATGACGACAAGTTCGTTGCTGTGGCGGCGCCGGAGGCGTTCTCGCGACACTCAGGGACGTGTATGATTCTCGGTGGACAGGTACGCTTTTGTCTCGCAGGAGCTTGTGATACGACGGCAAGAACAGCTTGAAACCTGCAAAGCTTTCCGACGCGGGTGTGTGATCCGGCGTGTCTTCGCTTGTACTGGGCGGAACCAATTTTTGGTGGAAGATCGTCGAATATCCTGTGTCGTCTGACATTCACCTTGAGCACTCTATACCACAGAGGCTGGTTTCTTTGGCAAGGACGCGTTTCCCAAGTGTTGAGTTGTTGCAGTACGCACACCACTGCACCATGGTACATTGGAGCGAATCCAGTCCCGCTTTTGCTGTCCCGCGCGGCTCGCAATCCATGTTATAGGTTGACGCTTTACTTTTCGTGCCCCTAACTTAGTTTCAGCAGGTTGCCAAGAAATACAGAACGACGTTTTCCAGCACACGTCGCCTGTATCTAAGCACCAATGTTACGATGGTATGATTGTTGGTTTGGTTTTGACAGGCATAAGGTGTCGTATGCATATGCATGTGTCGGACTGAAAGCGACTCGTGTTGAAAGTCTTGTGTAACTCTTGTGCCCGATCAAGCTACGCCTTTCACGTTATTTGTAGAGGTACCGACGCCGACAGCTCATGGTCCCCATTTTTTATGCATGTCGTGACAACACTCCCTCGTGGGATATGTATGCACTACCGATACTTGGGCGCAGAACTAAAGCCAGAGTGCATTCTGGTAAGGCAAAAAGAGCTACAAGTACTAAATGTCTCATCATTCTCATCACGAAATGGATTCCAGCCCCGACATGTCACACACCTTTTCCTTGTCAAAACAACGATCCGCATATAATGCGATAATATTATTGCCTTACAAACAACGGCGAAAAAAGCACCCTTCCACCTTACACATGACCTCATATTCTGCGATGCTCAGGGCGCTTACGGGAATGGAACCTCCAAATCTTACGAGCTCAAGCTGGGGAACTTTTTGCGGATTGGCTCCGTTGGCGTGGTCGTAAGCGAGATCCACACGGGCGCTGGTGGAGAGCACAAGTGTTTGTCGTGGGAGGAGCTCACGTGTCTCAAGGGGGACATCGCTGCAATTCAAAAGGCATGCGAGACGGCCTGTAGTTGCTTGTGTGGTGTTCGCCTTTTTCCTCAATTGGAATCAGCCTTTCTCTGCACCTGGATCGGCGAAAGCTGTGCCGGGTCACGTGTTTACCCGCGCGTGGCTGAACTAATTGAGGTGTAGCATAGTGGTCCTTGCTTGCATGTCCTTGACGATAGCTATCCATTTTCCTTGCAGGACCTCGTGACTATCGAAGCGCTCACGGCGCAGGAGGAGAATGCCGAGGCGGACAAGTTGACTGGGGTGCTGCAAAACGGGGGTGGGGGGGTAGTGAACACAAGGATGTGCTATATGTGCTTCGACGATGTCGACGAACCCGGCAACCCTCTGGTGAGCGGCAACCACCACTGAATCTTTTCAGGCTAAAACCGATGTTAGGAAACACTCGTTGCCCCTAGTTACCTAACCCCCCTTTACCACCTGCCGAGCTTAGAGACTCGAGCGTTATCACAGTCGCACTCATGACCTAGGAATCTGGAGGATAGATGTTGTGATGGGCAGCTTTCTGTTGGGACTGAACCGTAGGGGAAGTCTGAAGAGATGGGATGGCCAAGGAATGGGAACAAGCTCACTGTTGATGTTGTCCACGCGGAATTGCGAACAACGTTCAGACGTGCTGTTTCCCGTGGTCGTTCATGACGGGCAACTCCATGTTCGTGTGTGGTTCGTTGCGTCTTTGAATTGACGAAAAATACCTCCACGTCTTGCTTGGTACATGCTGACGTTTGCCTCAGGTCGCACCTTGCGAGTGCAAAGGCGACACACGGTACGTCCACCTCAACTGTCTCCAGAAGTGGCACACCACCACCTCCGAGAACAAGGTGGGCATTCGCTCCCTCCCTCCCTCACGCGGGAGCTTTGTGTATTGGCACATCCCATGGTGCCTGGTAGTGAAGCTCACAGCACGTGAGACCTAGTTACACGTGGTCGGCGCCGGATGTACCTGCATTGTTGCGAACTGCCTTCTTGCCGCTCTAGATCTCTGGTGTTACTGCTGTTGCTTGGAGTATAATTTGTTGTGTCGGACACTGCGCGTCGACAAGACTGGTGTTGGTCAAGACCATGTGGGCAGAAGCATGCAACGACGTCTCGGTTCTTACCCTTCGCTGGCCTGATAGTTTGCATCTGCCGACGTCGTTGTGTGTATAGATGAAGAACACATGGTTTGCCCGTGGATACACTGGGGCTACAATGTAGCATGTAAATGTTTGTAGCAATGGCGCGTGGCATATTTCTCCCCCAAACCAGGTGTGCGTTGTTCTCAACAACAAGGGGGTGCGAGTTTGCACCGTTTGCAAATCGCCATACAAGGCTAGCGTGCGACTGCCGGGAGGTGAAAGCATCTCGTTGTTCCAGAGTCCCCTCCCGCCTCCGTACATCTGTTTCATGGTGGTTACACGTCATCAGAACAACGAGGTGAGACTCCCACAGCATGCTCAGCACTCTCCTGGCTGACCGACCGCTTGTTCGGTGATGCCGTTGGGTTTGGACTGGTTCTGCTCTTCAAGGTTCCTCTCTCACCGACACTAATGTGGAAACTGGTACCCCGCCTGTCTGCACGTTTCCCAGGAGCTGTTCAGCACAAAATACCAGTTGAGCTTCAACAGCGTCATGAACCGGGGAGGCACTGCAAGCACCAAAGAGCTGGTCGTCGGCCGATCCAGGCAATGCGATATGGTTCTCGACTACAGGTGAATGCGGTTCTGTCGCGCTGGTGTAACGTGAAATACGCTGTCCCAACGTCGCGGAGCGAAGTAGGTTTGGGCTGAGTTATGCATACGAAGACAGATATATCTCTCAACGGGTGGGATGAAAAAAACAGATTCGTTGTTTTGGAAGGTATGGACTAATTGCAGGCAAGATTATGACCTTAGCGAGCACCACTGTCGTCCCCTTTCTTCTCTCTATACCAGGACCGTATCGACTCGTCATGCGAACGTCAGATTCCAGGGTGGGAGGTTCTACTTTTCGGATCTGATGAGCAGCAACGGCAGCTACCTGTAAGCAAGCGTCAAATGTGTTCAACGATGCACCCAGAAGCTCTCACTGCGTATGCGGTCAGATTCGTTACGCATCGCCGTACCCCTATTGTCGGCCCCACCGGGATTTGGCCAACCCCTCTGCAATCATACGTGAGTAGCTTTCTTTCACTGAATATGTATGGGGCCTATCATATTTGTGTGGCTCATGTTTTAATCGTTTGCGTTCGATTCCTGCTCACATCACAGGTACCTGCGCGAACCCCTGCAACTGCCTTACGGCGAGACTGTGTTCCTCAAGTGGGGATCCAACGTCGTGTCGTTGAAGGCAAAGCGGTCGTCTATCCGCCACCGCTTGAGCAGCCTTGTCGGGCGGCGAGCTACGGTAAGTCCGGCTTCATGCTGAAATGTTTCTGTACCAAACTATTTGGTGCAATGGGATACTTGATCTGAGATTTGGTGAACCGTGGTCACCTCTTTGGTGTGCGCGCCGTGTCGACCTAGATATACATTTTTGATCTGTTGCATAGCGCATATGGACGTCTTGTGAAATAGACTTGCGCAATATTCAGCCAAGCTTGGCAAGTGGTAGTGGAAGCACAGCCTCCAAATTTGATCAAACGTGTTTGCTTGGACCTTCTCGGGGGG